TATCGCCACGATGATAATGAGCTACCTACTCGTTCAGGGTTGTACGACCCAGGTCACCTCCGCATCACCTCCGCAGTAATGCAGGTACACGGGACTGAACGCTGCGCGATAGAAGTTACAGGTTCCTCGATTCCAGTATTAACATTCGAGCGCAGAATTTACGGATTTGCGGCATAAGCATATCGCTCTCTTAAACACGCCGAATAGCATACCGTTTGAGGCTTACTCTCCGAGTAGAAACCAACGTGTCTCAGATGTCAAACATTTACACGCGTACAACCGTTTTCGACTGGCAGCATGGCCTATCGCCGATGGTACTTTATCTTCTACCACTACCCGCCATAAACATGCGATTCGAGAGGAGGGCCTTACAAGTTGTACATATGAATCATCCCACCCGAGAATCCCACGAGTGGGTAGCTTAGCTGTGCCTCCCCCACGCGATATTGTTGAGGCAGATTCTCCGAACATGCCCATATCGATAGGACGTCTCAGACTCATGACCCCGATGAGCATATCATATCTTAGGCAGTCAGCTCTCGATAAACGTCGAAAGGATCATGAAGCTGCTAAACTACCAAATCGATATGGCCGAAGGGAGTGGGGCTTACAGAGCTCGGAGAATTGAGGTCGCCATCTATCGTCGAGATGGAATTGCATGAACACAGAGGCGCAGCAAACCCCGGCCATGCCGTCATTAAATTAGGGTTGGGATGGGATTAGTTTACAAAGCTGGTGAGATCGCGGGATCTTCCCGGACGTGGTTGAAGCTGGCGAATCAGTAAACGAGCATATCTACGAAAGTATCGTCTAGTCTAAGCACTACGATCCTCCCGTCGTTGGTATAAGCAGGTCTCTGTCAGTGCTCAAAACTAACACGATTCTACGCTTGCCTAGATTTTTTTTTTTCAACTCCTTTGGTGTGCGACACAATTAAAAATGTAGCTGCAGTAAAGGCACAGTCCAGCTCGACGGTGCCGCTTTTTAAGTGCGTTTGGACAGGATTCGGTACTACCCAACATACTGGATCGTACAACTAAAGTATTCTTTGCTTTGCCGTAGAATTCGATCTGCTAAACAAATGCGGAGGGAATCTGCATGTGAATTAGGTAGGTACTCCAACGAAATGAAAGTGCCTATGCGGCACGGCACGCCAGTAAGGCCAGTAAAATATCCTCCAAAAGGAGCTGCTACGTTAGGTACGCGGAGGTACGCTTGCTGACATTATGTACCGCAATCCTTCCTTGGACCCCATCTTGAGAGAGACTTTCAGTTCGTATGGGCTACTTTATCTATGCCGTACAGCGTAGAGTATGTTGGCACGCTTATGCTCTATTTCAACATACACACGTCTAAATTTGACACCCGTTGATAAATCTCATTGGTTGTCAACCAGCCCATTCCTAACCTAGGTACACCGCTTTGAGCAATCACCTAACCTAGATACTCCAACGAGTTTTGAATGGCGCCGAAAGAGGGTTACGTTGGATCCTGCGTCGCTTTTCTACTGGCTAGCCGCGCCATAGACAGACGTTCAAGAACTATCATGCGAGTGGTAAATGATATGGCAAGGCTGCTTACTCCGTAAGCCGTTGTCGAATGGGACTGTTAGTAGACTAACCTAGCAAAAGTAGCATGACTTTCACCAGCCAGAACACTGAAGACGCATTCCTTTATCAGCAGTTGGAACTACACAGATAGCCAACAGTCTAGTATCATATAGGATGGAGCCGCAGGACACACGTAAGAGCGTCTATACCAGTTTTACTTCTGAGGAGAGCATGATCGTTGAGAAGATGTTAGCTGCCTATCTTACTCGCATCCAATCCTACGAGCTGAATTATACTACTACATGACGCGGTTCCTTAGGGAAAAAATCCGGTGCAGAACATTGGTTACTATGATTCCTTTTTACGACCAAGTATTCCTAATTACGGTGGTGCTCTCGATGCGGTGAGACCTGGGAAGCAAGTGCCCGCTGACGCCATCCCATAAATCCGCTACGCATCATCTACCGTGCTATACATATACATTATAGCATGGCTATCGTCGGTTCCTGCGTAGAGTTTGGTGCTACAAGCGTATCGTGAGATGTCCAGAGTAAATCCTAAACGCCTTTGCCGCGCCTTGGGTAACCGGCTTATAGAGAATTCTCAGAAAGGGTGTCACACCAAGAAGTCCTGTCGACACGTTGCTTGTCGCCAGTGGTCATTCTGATCTGTGGCTTACCATTTTTCACATCATTTCCCCCCAGATTGTCGATGAAGATAGTATCACAGGTACACAGAGATCGAGTAGAAACGCCATCACGCTAGGTTAGGTGTTCGTGGGCTTGCTTTTAGGGTATCAGGATCAGGATTGGAGATAAGCAGCAGTTCGTCTAATCCCACAACGCGGTCATCATCGGAGTCCTGACTGGTCGAAATGGTTGTCTATAACAAAGAACTCTAGTCCCAATAGTTTACTGTTGTCAGGTTACCGATGACGTAGGTTCGTACGGCAGACTATGAATTATTGGGAGTCAGTGTACGACCCACCATGACCTAAAGTCGCTCTATGATATATGTTATCGTTTAGATGACTAGGACAAAGACATGATGTTATGTAGATCATCTCGGGTATCTACCAGCGATATCAGAGTCTACGAACCCGCTAGCAGTCGGAAGGCAAATTCATTGTCGTATCTTCGCCTGTTATATGTGATATCATGTAATTGGTATGGACGTATCACCAGACCCTACACTACTTAATATCGTTCTGGCGTAAGGCGCTGGCGGAGTGAAAAGTCCGACGGGAAGCCACTTTTCCGCACACAGTGACTATCTCTTAATAATAGCACTTGACTTAGGTACCTAGTTAGATGTAAATATAATAGATGACGTTAACCGTGTTCGAGCGTGCAGAAGAAAGGGTAGAAAAGGCCTAATAGCGTGATATGACCGATCACCACGATCATCAAATACGCCATGGCAATGTTTAATCATAAATCGTAGCAAGCCCTAGCTGGCTGATAGACTAACTCGTTAAATCTCCAAATGACTCCTCCCACGCTTCTTGGAAGAGGCAAATACGTAGTTTCCGAGATACGCCATCGAACTGATTAGGTACCTACGTCTGATTATACGACGTGCGGTCCGAGATCCGACAGACAGAAGCACGAAGCAAGGCAGCATATACCTACCTGCCTACCTACCGACATATCTATCCATCTATCCGTCTGTCTACGCCAGGCGAACTAGCTGAAAGACATCCATCAGACAGACAGAAGACGTGTCACATTTTGGGCCAGAATGCCGTAGGAGGTACCTATCTTATATTGTCCGTCCCGAACGTGCCGCCGCGTCGCTGTCTCGGTCTGGGGCGCACATGATTCCCCCGCGAGATACCTATCGATAGGGTCAGGTAGGTAGATATCTAACCTAGGTGGCTTAGTACGTTGGGTAGGTTAGGCTAGGTAGGTAGGTAAGGTAGATATGGAAAGCGGTGATACGGTTCGGTGTTGCGGACCAGACCGACGGCGCATGAGGGCTTGAGACAGCCAGCCAGCCAGCCAGCCAGCCAGCCACCTAGGCTATTTTTGCACGAGGACCCCTTGTCTGAACGATAGTTTGCAAAACAAGCTTTTTTTTTCTTTTCTTTTTTTTTTCTTTCTCTCCTTCCTATTTTACCTTTTACCTTTTCTTTTTCTTTTTTGGCCCCTTGGAGCCGTGATACACTCGCTCGCTCGCTCGCTCACTTGTCTGAGACAAGTCTCCGGCTGGCTAGATATCCGCGTGTTCTTGCCAGGTGCCGCCACGAGACGGGCAATGCGGAGCTAGGAGGGGAGGACCTGGGGCGCGCGCCCCGTTAGCTCGTGATGGTCACGCGGGTCGCGCTGCGACATTCGTGTGTTAGCTGAATGCGGCATATAGGGTTTTGGGGCGAGACTTTTTAGCTTGGTGTCGATTGGATTTAAGCCGATGTCTGTAGGGACTGTAGTATTACATCATTACTTGGGGTGCGCTTGTTGCTTGATTTGTGAAGAGGATCTCGACTCTAGGATTGGTATTGCTATGGCGAGTGTGTATATGCGGATGTCTTGAGGATAAGACGGACTGCGTTGACTATAACTATAGTTAGCTCATCAAGCAGTCTTTCTATAAGGCATGTTTTATTCAAGTGGTCTACTAACCCTTTCTAGTTCTATATTCCCCGGGCTTGAATATACAGCAGTGTTGACAAGGTCTTACTTTTCATGAGACTTTGTCGTTCGTGGGCTTGTATAATGATTTATTTGACTTATACTGATCATCTCTACGCTGAGATGATGATAGAAAAAGCCTGTTATTATAGAGGAAACCAGTAGTTTAACAGTACTATACTAAAAAGGAGAAAGGGGAGTGTAGACGGGTGAGTCAAGTTCAGTATTTACTCTTATGTCTAAATAGTCACCTTATCACTAAGAATAGAAACATTCAACTTTCTATTATTTGTTAAGAGTTTAATAAAATGGTTGATCTCCCATGTTATTGTTTTGTCAAAGATGGGACATCGCGATGGTGTATGTCTTCTACCGTATCTTTTATTCTACGATAAAAGCTGGTCTATGATTTCAGAGGTGAAATGCCAAAATTTATTTCGTATTCACAACTATGTATTAGCATCTTGCTTGGTAGCTCAGTATAACCCCCCTTAATTTTCCTCTTGAATGCTGCATTTCCTTAGTATGGCGATTCTTGTCCAAGTGTTAATTTTAGAAACTCAATACCTAGCGCTTTAGAATATGCATCTATATGCGTCAAACTAACAGGAGAAATATTATCTTATAAGAAGTTGGCGCAGTGACTAATTATAATATGATTAACCTCGTGTCAGCACAACTACTGAGTCGTAGCTAAAAACGAACTTATAGATAATGATACGTCTAGAGAATAATTATAGCAAAAATAAAAAACAGCATTAGGTAGATTAGAAGTAGCATCCCTTCTTTTTAGATGAAGGTCTGAGTTTGGCGGACTTGTGGTAAATTGCCCATAAGATCATAGGCTATTTGTTATTGATACGGCCCATCTAACCGTATCATAATTTGGTCATAAAAACTTTGTTAACTACCCTAGGAGGTACAATTTAGACAGGTAGACATGGAATAAAGTAATAAGAAAAAGGATATCAGGTACGTTAGGCCTTTTTGTGTTGTGAGTAAAGTACCTTTGTTGCTAGGCAACATCTCGTATCCCGCTGTCGCCTTAAATAACCCCTTAAGCAGCCAATCTCCCATCCCCAATCGGCGCTAGGACACCAATGCGGCCGGTGGTGTAGTGGCAATGGCAGTAGGGTGATGAAATAATTCCTTGGGGAGTTTTTCGTAAGACTCAGGTTCGATCCCCTATGAGGGGCGGCAGGCAGGCCAACTGTTCAGGTCAATCGAGTAGAAGGTCGAATCCTGAGTCCGAGCTTTTTTGCCATGTTCTTTTAGGCATCATTTTATTTTGATTTTATTATGTATTTCTTTTCCTTCCCCTCCCTTTACGTTTCTCACTGTCTCTTCGCTCATTTTCCGTATTTCTTGAGACTTCATCACGGTGTTGGTCGCACTTGGACTCACCTTACTGCTGCTTATTAGCGCCGGCCAATAGTTTATCTTCTAGTTAGTAGTCTTCAGTCCGTACTCCAGCTTTATCAGATCGGCGGCCTTCTCTGCGAGTGCATACACCGTAGACTGCAAGTTACCTGGAGGAAGCAGCGGCACGATACTTGAATCAACAACACGGAGATTTTCTACTCCGTACACCTTGAGATTGCTGTCTACAACACCCCCAATCTCCTCAGGAAGCATTGCGCATGTTCCCGCGGGGTGCCACATCGAAGAAGCGCGGGCTCGAAGGTACTCCTTCGCGGCATCTAGATCCGCGAAACGGGCTGCCGAAGGGGAGATCTTTAGTGGCTGTTTGAATATGCCGTTCAAAGACGGCGACGCGGCGAGGGTATGGATATAATGCATATGTTCTGCAAATATCTCAACATCTACTTGGTTCGTTAAGTACCGTGGGTCAACAATGGGAGCGTCTGATATGTCGTTTGATTTGATGTGAACACTTCCACGGGAAAGTGGTTGAGCGAGTGTGGCGGCGAAGATGATATACTTTCCAGGAGCAGGGGGTGCGGGTTTGCCCGTGGCAGGATCGGGCGATATATTGTTGTTTGAAAGCGCCGTAAGGTAAGCAACTGATGATGCATTTGGGTCAAGTAGAGTACTTTTAGCTATATTATAATAAGCCGAAGCTTGAGCTTGATTTTTGCCCGAGAAGCTTTCTGGCGTTGGCCGGTTCTTATCGAGCATCTGTTCCAGGAATTCTCGTCTATGACATTGGATTAGGCTTAAGGAATATATTATGTGATAGGGGACTAGGATGGAGGTCATAGATCAGAAAGTAAAAAGAGCAAATGAGCAAATGAGCAAATGAACGAGAAAGTTACCTACCCTTTGCCCGATTGATACTTAACCACTGGCATGTAGGCATACGTAATAACCCCGTTTGTTGTAAGCAAGCCTGTATGGTTGGTCATGAACTCTTGCATAGACTGCCCCATCACCCCAGGGTCTCGTAGAACGTCGAGTGTTTCCAAGTCATCTACTGCCTCGAAATCAACATCACAAACAAGGTGATCCTGGAGATTTTCTCCAACTCCTTCCAGATGTCTGACCACCTTGATATCATGTCGCTCTAAAAGACTAGCATTGCCAATGCCGGACAGTTCGAGTAACTTCGGTGATTGTAAGGCACCAGCAGCGACGATGACCTCTTTGCGTGCGGAAGCGGTTCTCGTTTGAGCCTCGTAGCGGTATTGGACTCCAGTGGCCTTTGTCGAATTCTCTCCAAATATAATCTTTTCAACGACAGCATTGGTGAGGACATGAAGGTTCTTCCGGCTCTTCACTGGGTAATAATACGCTTTGGCGGAGTGGTTTCTTTCCCTCGTTACCGGATCGATGCTCGTGAGGTTACTAAAAGATCCGACTCCTACTGATGGATCTACCCAAGGATCGTTGGGCATTAGGTATCCGATATCTTTGAATGTCTTTGCCCAGGCCTCACGAATAGGATGAGATAGGTTGCCGGGGAAAGATACATGGACTGGACCTGTACCTGATTCGTTCTTGGCCGTCCAACCATCAACACCTAGGCTCTTTTTGATATTATCTGATACTCTTGGTGGCGACGTATAGGCTTTGGCATAATAGTCACGTAGCCCTTCCCAAGTCCATCCATCGTTACCAAGCAAGGCCCAAGAATCGATCAATTTCTTGGTAGGTGGAGCAAAGACTTCTGCATTTATAACGCTTGAGCCGCCCAAGGCCTTGCCCTATATTAATATCACATTTGACATTAGCTCAAAGGTATCGTGAATTTAGCTTAGCCCCCAAGATTTGTTTGGATAATAACCCAGCAGATCTCCCAGTATTGAAACCGGATGAGTTAGGGTATTATTTTGAAATATTTGGGCTTACCTGGTTCAAGTCGATTCGTCTGTTATTGAGTCCTGACTATAATCTAGTTTAGCCTCGAATCCTGCGTGTTGAAGATAACTACCTTATGCACCTGAGTTTCAGTTTGGAAGTCCCAGTCAACTTCACTCTTCTTCAGAGCGGCGTAGAGTGCCGGAATTTTAACGCGGGGATCTTCGCTGTGGTCAGATCCAGCCTCGAGCACAAGTATGCGCTGACTGGAATCTTCTGAGAGACGAGCGGCAACCACGAGCGCGGCCGTACCGCCGCCTGCGATGATGAAATCGTAGGATTCGGAATTCATTTTTTAGTAGAATATACCTTGTAAAAGATGTAGGTACGTGGATAATCTCTTGGGAGGCTAGTATTGAACACCGTGCCTATCTATTGAAGAATATGTTGGGGTAGTATAAATAAATGTATAGATTGTTGGCTTCGAGCATTTTGTAGTAGGATTGTTGGTATTTCATGCATGGATGCAAGGGGCGTTTTCCGAATCATGTCTTACATCCAACAGCGTAAATTAGTTGGTGTAAAGTACGGGCATATAGAGTTCCGAAAGTAGCCCAAGTTGCATTGATTTCTAGATAGGCGTAATCTAGAGATGTGTTACACGATTATTGTATCATGACTCTATATCTAGAACAAAGAACATTGTCGATATGTATGGCCGTAGGCTCCCGTAGCTAGCTTAGAGTTCTTGCGATTATAGCGGTTGGATTGAGACTCTGGTCGAGACGGATCCAGGTAATATCTCTCGAATTCAACGATTACATGACAATTATCTCTGTAATTATAACTAACTACCTAGCCTTGTCATCTGCTGTCTTCTTGGTAAAGCACCCCGAAATTCCCAATATACCAACACACTGTAGTTGACGCTGCTATAGCAACAGGCATAGGAACTGTCGGTGTGCATATTGAAGGGATACTAGTTACCAGACCATGGGTTCTCACTTAGGTACTTATATGAAGGTTTGCCCTGGCCCCGTTGTCCCGCTTTGGAAAGTAGGTAGCTAAAGATCTCAAGACATTTGCACTTTGTACGCCAGTACAATACAATTGGGATAAAAGCATACCAGGCAGCTGTACGGACCAAAGCCGAGCCTACCTTGGTGCCAGCATTACAAATCTAATCATCGACGCTTTCATCGTTATTTTCCCTATGTCAATGTTATTTAGACTCCAAATATCATGGCTGAAGAAACTCAGCATTGCTGTCATGTTTAGTCTTGGGGTGATGTAAGTACTTCTCAACTACATAGGTACCCTTTTTGTTAGCCTCTTATTCTAAAGTTGTTTAACTAGCATATGTGTCTTTTCACTCCTTAGAATTTTTTCGATTTTGTCATGGGATTTGACTGTAGTACCAATATCCGACAATACTTACGATGGTAACTAGCTGGTTAGAGGGCCTAAAATGAAGGTACAAAAGTTGACACATCATCAAAAGGCAATGGCATCTATAAAGTTTCGTTTCGATAATTTAGTATAGACATATTATAAAAGTGTATGTCTTAGGTAATTATTAAAAGTCCTTATAAATAGACAGGGTAAACAATTACTGGAGATCACCCCCCGGGCAACACAGAAACCTAAGGTTCCAATATTCTATCCTGGTAACTATCCTACAAAGAAGAATCGACATTCTAATTCGGGCTGTGAAATCTTGTATATTGTGGCGTAAGGTTAGTCAGAGTCGAGATATCGATGTCCGGTCCTACCAAGCCACCCTCGCATTTACCATGCCCAACCGCCGCACCGCAATGGAACAGTATCAACAGCTAGAACAGGCCTCACACACGAAAGGGCGTAACACAGAACGGCTAAAAAGTGAACCAACGGCGCCTCGGTAAGCGGGCCCCGAACACCAATATTACACCGAACACGGGCTCACCCGGAGGAGCCAACGGAAGCGGCTGGAACATCATCATCATGCGTGCCTCATAAGGTTGTGACGATGTGGAACTAAACAGTAGGGAAACAACTTCGTTGTTCCGCGAGGAGCTCTAATCTATCTACGAGGATCTATGTCTATAGGTACATAATACTAAACATGGTCTTTGTTCTAGATGTCTCATCTAGAAAGGTTAGATTGGCAGGATATCAGAGATTAATACTGTATGCATATAAATGGAAATCTTGTATATTAGCTCTAGATAGCTCTGCACGCTGCATACCCCTAGGGAGGTTTGCGAGGGCCGGTTCTTCCCCCTTACTCCGGCGTTAAATATACCAACTAACCACCCTCGCATTTAGGTAAGTGCTATGCTATCCCTCGAACATCCATGTCTTACCATGAATATTACTGCATTGAACAGTGAATGTGGTGGCAAAAGTCGATGTGTTGGTTAAAAGACGCTTTAAGAATGATATTGCATAACCAACGATCAGCCAAGAGTATAGCCTTGTGTAGATGTGGCACCACTCGCAAAAGAAGAGGTAAAGGCTGTATTGATCCCCCTCGTATTTACCTGCATTGAAAAGGGCTTTAATGCATTTTAACGAGGGTTGTGTGGACGGAAACTCCGCAGCTGAGACTCACGTTTTTTCAAATTAACCTCAGTCCCCCTCTCAGCCTCCTAGCTTCCCACCCCTTCTCCTCCAGTTATAAAATGTCAATATGCAATAAATGTATAACGAGGCATAAGCACAGTATAAAACATGCAACCTCATTTTTATCCTAAGAAGTTTCGCTGTTAGAATGAGTAACTGAAGAACTAATTTCAGGTACAGCATCTACCTCCTAGCATAACATATTAACTTGAAATACGTATATATTAATATTTACCTTCACACCTACATTTCTATTCCCTAGGTATATAAATCAATGAAGGACAACTGAGCCGGCAAATCGAACTTTTTAACACTCACGCTCTGGGTAACTTCAGTAAACTCAATAGTTGGAATTATCCGTCTTGCTTGGGAAGATATTTCAATCTCACAAAACCTACGCCCATTATTCTACGTTTTGGTCTCATCGAGTACCAAGTAAAAATCATATTATCCTCAATAAATCTTTGATTGTTCTAAATCGACACTGCGAGATTCTCACCTACGGACCATGCAAAAATGGTGTATCCAGCAGCCACCGAAAATGTCGACAGCATATTAAACGGCACTCTCCACCCCAGGTTTCGCCATCGATCATTATCTACGCCTACCTATAACCATCATGACTCTTCAGAATGTAACGCTGATATGGTGGAGGAGTTCAACCGTCTAAAGTCCTTCCAACATGCCTGGAAGAATGGTATTACTGCGGCGAATGATCTACCGAAACCGAACGCGTGTAATAATCAGGAAGGAGACATAGAACCACTCTCTATCGATGACACGTTTATTTTTCCATTTTTCCATTTGGATTCTTCGGACTTTTGGTTTCATATATACCCACTCCAGTGACGAGCTCAATTCCCATTTTATCGCTGGGGACCGGTTCTCTTTGAAACCGAAGCTGAAAAAAATAAGAATTTCAACCTCGCCTCTTCAAGAGCTGATGAACATGGTCGGATTAAATGATGTAAAAAAGGAATTTAATTGGTTCAAGACAAGATCAAAGCAGCTCAGGCCCACAAGGAACATATCCCGGTCAGGAGTTTAAAGCTGGATTTGATTATCACTGGGAATCCAGGAACTGGTAAATCAACCATCGCCAGGATATACGCCGGAAATCTCAGGTACTTAGACGTCGTAACAGACTGTGTTTTTGTTATGGACGACAATACTTCCTATTGGTGGAAGAAATAGAAGGATGATGTTTTGATCGTGACCGGTTCCAGAGAGACTATCCAAACCCTATTAAGTCACCCTAAAGCTCGTGGGCGCTTTTCACGGAGGATTGACCTTCAAGACTATTCCGAGAACGACCTACTTGCCATCCTAATCAATATATTAAAGGAGGACCGCCAAAAAGTCGAAGGCGGATACAATGCACCATTCCTTCGAATGTTTATTCAACAGATAGGATATAGAAAGAGACAAGGGACCTTCCAAAATATCAATACAATTCGAGAGGAAGTCCTGAAAGTCCGACAACGTCAAGGAGAACTTTTAGAGAAAGCAACATGGCAGGATAAAAACGCAGTCGTGAGTATTCGTCACGAGTCCTATAACCTGACAGAATCGGACTTTTTAAGGAGCAACCCGACAGGTTTCTATGGCCGAAGTGATGCCTGGAAGAAGCTCGAGAAGATGGCTGGTATGGAAAAGGTCAAGGCTGCTGTAGAAGAGTTGGTTTCTAGGCAAGAAATCAATTATGTTCGTGAAAAGGAAGGGAAAGAGCTTTTGAAACCCTCCCTCAACTACGTCTTTCTCGGTCCACCAGGGACAGGGAAGACGACTGTCGCAACGCTCTTCGGCCAGATCATCGCGGATTTAGGATACGTTGGTACCAACAAAGTGGTTGTGAAGAAACCAACGGATTTCCTTGGACAATATGTTGGACATTCAGAGGCTCAGACTCAAGACATCCTAAATGACACCCAAGATAAGACTCTAATTATTGATGAAGCGCATATGTTTTATCATAGCTCCGAGTACGGCACAGATGACTCCGATATTTTTCGAAAAGGTATTATAGATACCATCGTGGCTCATACGGACAACGAGCCTGGGAACAATCGATGCATTATTTTGATGGGATATCCGGACCGGATGAGAGAATTTTTACCGCAACACTAATCCTGGCTTTCAAAGGCGGTTTCCCTTAGAGGATGAATTTGAGTTTGAAAATTATGATGACGAGGCTTTAGGCCAAATCCTCGACATCATGCTTGCTCAAAGTGATGTTACAACCAGCGAGAGCGCAAAAGTTGTTGCCATGGAAGTTCTTAGGAGAGAGCGTGACCGCCCAAACTTCGATAACGGAGGTGCAGTACGTAACCTCGTTAGTCGGGCATTGACCACACATAGTAAGCGTGTCTCGTCGCAGGCGAGAAATCAAGACCTGAATGGTGAAGCCATCCCAGACAAGGACAAAAGGGGTCATATCATCTTGGAGCCCCAAGACTTTGACCCAGAGTATAACCGTGGGCTCCAGGTCAATAGCGGCTGCAATTCCTTGTTTAGGGGCTTGGTTGGCTTCCACAGCATCATTGGAGTTTTTGAAGGTTACCAAAAGATGGCAGCAAACATGCGGAAATGCGGTCTCGACCCACGTGACGAAATACCGTTTAGCTACGTCTTCAAAGGCCCTCCGGGTACAGGAAAGACTACGACCGCTCGGCTTCTAGGTCAAATCTATTACTCCATGGGATTCCTCTCAACTACTGAGGTTGTTGGTCCCAACAAGGAGATAACGCGCAAACTTGGCGGCCTGCTCAAGCGGCTTAGCGAAACGGAGGGATGGGCAAATGCGCGAGACGTGGAAACCTTATCAAAGAGGATAGTCCGGAATGCCTTCATGAAAGACGTTAAGATTGGGGAGTCTGTGATGATCACGCTGAAAGAAGTTGTTGCCATCATAACAGAGGTTCTTGAAGAACGAATATCGCAAAGTTTGAGGGATGAATAGATTAGCCACTAGGTAGATATATTATATTATTACGTAGAGTACATAGATAGATACTGTAGTTACCTAGGTATGTATTGGATGCTGGGGTAAAAAGATGTTGTATCAGAAAAGAATGATAATACTCCACTTTAAGTGGTAGAAATCTTATACATACCTAGGTTAGGTACCTATGTATATGCCCCTCTTTCTCATTGCTCCTTCCTACAGTAGGTACCTACCGACATTAATGTAAAATACGGGGGGCACGTGGGTGCTAGAGCATTTTATGAAGTACCTACCTACCTAACCTACAATGTACCTAATGTAAGGTAGAGCCCATGAGATGGTTCCTTAGTACATGTATCATGTACGTCGTTGATCTAAAGATTCAATTATAAAGATGTTGGCCTAGCCCGATTAACTATAACCAACTATAACATTATAGCGTCATGGTATCATCTAAGCTAACAAAACATCACCAAGCTTCCAACAATGTCCGGTCAATTAGCCTCTGCGCTTGCGCCGATGCACGCCCAGGTTTTAAATCGAGTCTTGCTTTTTTCTCATTCGACAGCCACGTTCGAAAATACGGAAATACCAGAATAACCCAGTAAGGTCGTGCAGGACGAGGGGAGATGGCCTCTGCCTCTGCCTCCGCCTCCGCCTCCGGGCCTTCCCCAACGCTGGGACCCTCTCTCAATCTGCGAGGATCCTCGCCCGTGCCAGACCGCCCGCTATCGCTATCGAGGTTATCATCCCAAGATAGGCTCAGCGGTATTCTCGAGGTTCGTGCGTATACCGTCATTGCTTTCCGGTCTGTGGCTCTTCCGGTTCTGATAAGGGAATCCGGGAGAGAAAATACATAAATAAATCAATTTAGCCCGTTTACGATTCTCCCTTGCATTTTAAATACTTGAATTCTCCGACGGAGATTAATTTGTTGCCAGACTGCTAGAGAGCGTGCCGATACCATTGGTTCGCAGACGTCGGGACGGAGTGCGAGGATGAGCTTTCAGCGTGTACTAAAGCGGGATGATGATGGCGCACCTGACGAAACTACGATTATTGCGACTGCGCGCGGCAATGCGACAAATTACCAGAGCATGCGAACGTCGCCCAATCCGAGAAATAGACGGCCCGTGGAGCAATCCGAACTCGACTGTCCGGTAACAAATGGCACAAATGGCACGAACTGCACGAACGGCACGAACGGCGTATCTCCCCATACGAACGAGAAGAAGAATTGGTTAAAACACTGTCTCAGTGGCGTGTGGTCGGTAGAGTTGGAGAATAAAGGAAGCGTAGCTAGGGACCATCTGGCATTGGGTACGTCAACTGGCCAACCTCTATTTCACCGCTAACAGGTCGGAACCCAGAGCGAACATTTCTCGCCTGGCTTCGAACATCGCTTTCATTCGCATCTATCGGAATAGCCATCACCCAGCTATTCCGTCTAAACGCGACGATAGCGCCGGACGACCCCCATTTTCAGACGATTCGCCACATAGGAAAGCCGCTCGGTGCCACTTTCATAGGTATATCCATATTGATTCTATTGCTGGGATATCGTAGATACTACCAAGGCCAGCAATGGGTGATCAAAGGGAAATTCCCTGCCTCGAGGGGGACAATAATAATCGTCTCGTTGGTCGCATGTGCGCTTATAGTTGTCAGCTTGTTTGTGGTTCTATTTACGCAACCTACGAGTGTGGGATCAAGCTAAGCTGCCGATATGGCGGGTTTGAAATCGGAGTTCGGAATCATGATAATATTGAGGAATGAGAAGAAACTTAGGATTGATGAGACTTGGCTGGATAGGCTCATTCGTTTGACTAATATCTTGGGAAGGCTGTAATTTATAATCGTTTCCATGTAATGAGTAGGTACCTTGGGTAATTATCGTGAATTTTGAGCGGTGGTTATAGATTGTCTACATGTAGGAAATCTACGGAATAGCTAGAATCTATTATTATCATCAATCAAAAAAAGCCTTTACTCCACCAAACTTCACCACTCACAACTTACAACTTACACATCACAACCTAAGGCTACCTAGTGTACCTGACCTACCTAATTTAGACACGAGACTTAGGTGCTTTTATTTATCTTTAATTTGAATATTGGTCACTTCAGCTTCATCACTGATTTTGACCCTAGTCGTGTTTGACCAATCACTTAGAGTGAGATGAACACAGCTAATCAGCAATGTCACTCCTAACGAAGTCGGTCGACGTACCGGCTTTCGCCCGGACCCAGCTAGCACTCCTAGACATCGAACTGCAAAGCGAGATCAACGAGACCAGCGGTCTGATCTCAGGTACCAGCCCCGCTTCTCTGCAGCGTGCCGGCCTCGCCGTCACAAACCTAGTCGTCTCATCGCAACGAACCGGTCTAGGCGGGAGAACAGTAATCGAGCTCGCCCCGGACGCCGCCACCTCCGGGACCGGAGAACTGCCCGAGCATGGCGTCCGCACCGGCGACATCGTGCTCGTCTCGGAGCAGCCCGCTGGCAGTGCTAAGAAGCGCGAGGTCAAGGATCTGGAGCGCAAAGGCGCCAGGGGCGTCGTGATTAGGATCAAAAGGGATGCCATTGCCGTAGCGGTCGATGAGGATAAGGAGGATGCGGCGTCTTTTGGCGGCCGTGTCTGGCTTGTCAAGCTGGCTGATGATGTCACGTATCGTCGTATGAAGCAGACTATGGAGCGGCTGGGGGATATGACAGAATCTGAGTATTCGACTTTCACGCGCGTGCTTTTTGGCCTAACGAGTCCGTCGCCTGTGCCGGCGGATCTGGCTAGGGATTCGGAATATGGGGAGGGTAAGATCGAGTGGTTCGATCCGACGTTGAATGACTCTCAGAAAGATGCTATTAGGTTTGCGCTCGCGTCTAGGGAGATAGCGTTGATTCATGGGCCGCCTGGAGTGAGTGCTCTAACTCTGCCCTCTATTCTCCTGTTACGAACTGGAAGAAGCTAACTGAGTGCTGCGTGTTTCTACTAGACAGGCAAGACGCATACGCTGATAGAGCTGATCTTGCAGATGATTCAGCGCGGCCTACGTGTGCTGGTCTGCGGACCGTCTAACATATCAGTAGACAACATCGTCGAGAGGCTCTCTCCGCATAAAGTGCCTATCGTGCGACTCGGGCACCCAGCACGTCTACTGCCCTCTGTACTAAACCACTCGCTAGACGTGCTTACGCAGACCTCGGAGGCGGGCATCATCGTTAAGGATGTACGCTCTGAGATGGACGCCAAACAAGCATCCATTAAAAAGACGCGCAATGGCCGTGAGCGTAAGGCTATCTATGCAGACCTCAAAGAACTACGAAAAGAATACCGCGAGCGCGAGCGCCGGTGTGTAGGTACACTAGTAGGCGGGAGCAAAGTCGTCCTTGCGACGCTTCACGGCGCCGGCGGCAACCAGCTACGTGGCGAGAAATTCGACGTCGTGATTATCGATGAGGCCAGCCAAGCCCTTGAAGCACAATGCTGGGTCCCGCTACTATCAGCCTCCAAGGCCGTGTGCGCCGGCGATCATCTCCAACTACCGCCAACAGTGAAATCAACCAACTCGAAGACGAAACCCAAGGCTGCAAAGGAAGGAGACGAGCAGGAGAAAGACGGTGCCATTATTAAAGGCGCGAGCCTTGAAACTACACTTTTCGATAGGCTACTTAAACTTCACGGATCGTCTATTAAGCGCATGCTTACGACGCAGTACCGTATGCACGAGAAGATCATGCGATTCCCTTCGGATGAGTTATACGAGTCGCGGTTAGTGGCGGCGGACGCGGTAAAAGAACGGTTACTACGGGAGCTGCCGTACGAAGTGCAAGATACGGAGGACACGAGCGAGCCGGTGATTTTTATAGATACGCAAGGAGGGGATTATTCGGAGAAGAACGAAGAGGAGGAAGATAGGGAGGGTAAGGATGGGAAAGGGGGCGCAAAGAAAGGAAGCATTAGGTCTCTGTTCGGCGAGAGTAAAAGCAATATAATGGAGGCCGCGCTTGTAAGACAGCATGTCAAGAAGCTAGTCGAGGCAGGCGTTAGGTCGGAGGATATTGCCGTCGTCACGCCGTATAATGCCCAGGTAAGCCTCATTCTTGTCTCCCCTTTTCTAATAATCTTGGCCTTGGCCTCCTCCCCGACGTTATATTGCGCGAATTTTATTGTCGAGATTCATCCAGGTTATTCTAACCAATTCCAGTTGGGTCTACTGGCTCCCTTGAAGGAAGCATTTCCTGGGATCGAACTCGGCTCCGTAGATGGATTTCAAGGCCGGGAGAAGGAGGTCGTGATTGTGAGTCTGGTACGGAGCAATACCGAAGGAGAAGTTGGCTTCCTGAGCGAGAAGCGTCGGTTGAATGGTATGTCAAGTGATGCTTTCTACAACTCACCAGAGCAGAGAGTTTGGCATGGAATATTAACAGTACTCATCCTAGTTGCCATGACGAGGCCCAAACGTTCGCTAGTCGTCGTAGGTGACTCTGAGACCGTCCGAAGGTATGTCCCAAGTACCGTCGCAATATCCCGTCCATCCCTGACTTAATTTCGTCCGATATGGCCCGCGCCCCGGTCCTCACCACGTGGGGATTTCTAGAAGCTCATTTCTGACTACCTACACCAGGGGCAGCAAATTCCTCAACAACTGGATGGACTGGCTCGAGAACAACGCCGATCTCCGTTATGTCGATGCGGCTTCAATAGAGGCATAAGACAGGTATGTGCCGAACTTCCTTGCTTGTGGCGTAGAAATGGGAAATTGGGGTCTGGCGAACGGACGTTTGCCCGAACACCGAATTCTTTGGAACTGGTGAATTGGAGGACAGCGTTCATCCGAATTTTTAATACAAGCGAATGGTGGTGGCTGGAACATTGCGGATGCAACTCTACGATGCTTACCGAGCTTACTTACATGTGTCGAGTCTTCCTAGTTGCTCTTTATTAAGAAGACGTATTACCTCGCACCTCGCAGATTATTTCTTGCGGTCTCCTTCGACACACTCCCGCAAGGCTTATACAATGTATGAATGTATTTGCACTATCCGGATGAGTACATAGGGTTGGAGAGGTGTGTTATTTAGACGGGCATGTTCTGCCTCACTTAAGGGACAAGGAGTGCGATATTTGGACCATGGCGGCGGGTGGGCGGCATCTACGAAGACGGAGAAAGCCAAGAATCCCCAGATTTCCCTTATTAATGAGGGTTATAACGAATCTCTATATGCGGATAATGTGAATTGTGAATGAAGTGTTGTGCTGCCGTTAATAGTATTCGAATAGTATTCGAAAAGAAGAATACCTATACGATGGTGGCGCGGTGACGCTGTGATACTGTGACGATTAGCCTAGGTTAGGTACGTACAGTAGCTTGGATCCTTGCTGTTTCAGAAATGCTCTCTGGAGGTGGAGGCGGTCCGTTCGAGACCCACAAGCTGGACTCGAAACAACACAGAAAGACGAATTTGGGTACAAGAGTACATCAGTATTCGTCAGTTAGGTCGTATGCACATACCTATGTAGTATACACATATATTTTATATATGTCTGTACCAAAGTAGGGAGCATACCTATATTCCTCGTAATATATTAGGCAATCGATATATATGCCGAAGGAATATCGATTGACCACTATATCATATTGTTGACAAAATATAGTAGCTACCGAATGGTCTGAACGGCTGGAGGATATTTTTGTTTATATTTTTGAGTGGTTAGATCCTTGGCGAACTCGATAAGAAGAGAGAAAGCCGCAATGCAAGTGTTAATCTGTAAACTTAGCACAGCCTCGATCCGCTAAATTAGAGCTATAAACCTCAGGCCATAAAGTGTTGTACCTGCGTCACTAGTGGCTCGGAGAAATTCTGCGACTCTGGTCTTGGTTGGTCCTTCGATACTATGCAATGCATGCCTTGTGCATTTACAAATGCAGTAAGGTAGCCTTCGACAACATCCAATGCAGCAACTAGATGCAAGCTACAGGAGACGCATTGGATGTAAGCTCTTCTTCCATCCTGCGAGACTAGAGCCGAATCCTCAAGGAACAGCGAATACGTGTCCCGAGTAGTACCTCGTGCCGACATCTTTCAAACCTCGTGCTGTGGTGCCAACATAACCTAGGATGCCTATCGATGGCTGCGATACCTTGCGGCATTGATTTTATTAGTCGGTCGCACAGCAACCACGCCGCGATGCTGACGTCTTGCCTGCGGACTAAAGACGGGAGATCTTATTAAGGGAGATCCTGGCCCATAGGATTTCCGATCCCCAAGATACCTATCCCTTCGCAGATCAAACGCGGCAAGCGTCGATGGGTCGCGTGGATGTGTCGAGGCCTCTCCTCGTAGTGTAGTGTATGTGTCGTACAGCAGCTCGGCACCGCTGATAATAGAGTTTGATAAATATACGGATGAGCCGGAGAGTGAACGTGGTGCAAAATAACAGGGACGAGAATGGAGAATCGGCCCCTCATTTCTAGTGTCGGCCGCTACAGAATTTCATTACATGCAGTTTAGTTAGTGTCTGCAGCTGAGGACACTCTCCAGTCTGTGCTCGGCTCTAGATCATTGCGGATATGCGGGCCATGTTCCTCGCGATGTGAGGTTTTATATGCATGGTAGAATTCGCGAATAGTAGGTAAATACAGCTTGCGTAATATGCGGGTTTATGTATTTGGTGCTTGAGGAAATGCGGTAGAATAGGTACCTACTGGATCGGAGTGTTCAAGTTAAATAAAGAAACGTCTGAATATGATACTCCTTTGGTTTAGAGTAGTGTGACCAGAAGTTGCGTTGGTGTTTTACTATTTTAGGTAATGCGGAATATGTGATTTGCGACCGACGAATCTAGGCATATTATTAAGCGTTTAAAATATGATACGATAAATATTTCTCATATGGAATATACCTGAATTACCCGCCTAAGCGCGTGCAATATACATACTATGTATATGATCGAATGGACTAGTGGATACTAGGCATATTGATGTGGACGTTGAAGCGAGATATATTGCGTTTGTTTGCAGTTCATATATCTTGAACGACCCGAATCTAATTGCAATCTACATATAATATTCCGTACATATATGTATAGATAATGTACAAGTGAAGATTAAACCCGAGGCGAATCAGCGCAAGAAGTGCATGTTTACCTAGACGAAACGGTTGTAAACCCCCAACCGGAAAGAGCCTCCGTGGTAGGTAGCTTGGTTCTATTGGCACCTAGATAATAGCGTTTAGGCGTTTAAGCACGTTGTATCTAACTTCCATGTAAGTGGCTTCCCATTCCAATGCTTGAGTAATATGTAATATGTAATATGTACATGCAGTATGCGCCTATCCGGTCGTACTCCTCAACCCCTGTAGGGGGGAGCCAGTCTGGGGGGGGAGCACCTGAACAATTCTTTAAATCAAATACTACTGTAGCTAGGAAGCTGCTGGGTACATAGTATGGTACTATGCTAACCTTGAGCTTAGCAGGCCCAGGCAAGTCCATCTAATCTGTCAAGTCTACATACCTACCTACCATCCCCATCTTAATTTACGGAATATATAATTATCATAATTATCTGCTTACGACACCCTTGCATTTACATCTTTACCCATCTAGAATTCGTGACTCTCTTTGATACAATCTCTGAGACAATGAAGTAGTTGGCGCTCCGATACGATGCCATGGAGGTGACAGCTCAAAATCTCCATGTCACAACCATTCATCGCCTCCCCGTCCTATTCCTACGCGAGATGCAAAGACGCATGCCAATTAACTAATTCAGTCCGTCGAGACAATCTCAGCCAACACGATGAACACACGGACCTCTTGAATGCACATGCAGGTCTGTCCAAGCAGGGTTCATCGACATCCACGTCCACATCTAGGTAGTGTATGTACATACATACTGCAAAACCCCTGGGGCCAATATCAGAGCATTCCAACGCCCTGGTCCTTCGTCATCCCGACCTATCCTAGCTATCCCAGCTATCCTAGTCCCCTTTTGAGCTCTCTTGCGGACCTAGCTTCTGTTGTTTCTGCCATTTCTGTTACTTGGAGCCGATCTCTCATTAGACATTGTTGCAGCAGTGCAGTTAAACCCCCTTCGCACCGGCGCCTGTGTGCATTGGTAGCTGTTTCATGGGTGCCGTTGACACTTATCCATCTAGGATTATAGGTACAATACCTATGTTTACCGCCCATCCGCTCGAACCCCCCGGAGCCTTGCCATCCCACTCGCTCATTCACTACCTACCTTACCTATGTATATGCATGAGCGTGCGGCCGTCGCAAGGAACACACATTCCAACCAGCTTAACAACATGTATGCGCTGTAAATGGCCCCAAGGCCTCTCGTATCCCACCTCTCTTAAACTAGCTCGGCTGCTCAGGTCTCCTCGCAACCTATCCTTTTTGTTTGTCTTTTGCCACTGTTCTTAAGTAAACAATCGACGAGGGTAATTTGCCCTTTTCGACTTCTGATTCGTATACTCGACGCCCACATCCTGTCGAGCTGCATTGCTGGCGATGTGATGCAGGAAGCGGTTCTTTTCCCAAGCAAAGTTGGTTAATCACGAATTCGAACTTGCTATGTTTTGAAAAAAAGAGAAATGGATCGCTGGTCGCCCTCACTTCCATATCAATTATCTACGCGTCATCTTCCCCGTCGTTCGTTACATCTGTACCTAATCTAACAACTCCGAAATTCATCCACAATTTGCTTCGCAAGCAATATGGGTATCTTCAGGCCTGCCACCAGTGTCGGGCGACCGAAAACAGCTCAGCCTGACCAAGCTACTATCCGCGGTAGAATTAGTGGTCCTATTCCAATGGACGACGAGTTTCCTATCAGAGGTGCCGGTTCAGGTATTGCTCATGAAGGCAGATTGGAGCAGCTTGAGCCTCATATCGAAAACCGACCTCCTTCGAGACCTGGACATACCCCTCCTGAGGTCGCACGGGTGGACAAGCCTGACTCTGTCACACCGTCTGGACCCAGCCAAGCTTCAAACGCATCTACAAGCCCGCAACAGCAAAGGGCAATCCGTTCTAGCACTGTAAGGTATTCTATGGTCAGCGATAGTGGTGGCGCAGAGATAGATAGGCCACTGCGGAAAAGGTCTACACTCAAGTCTACACTCGGTAGATTATTTAAGAGAAAGAAGAAGAGTACAAGCGAGGCATATAACCCAGAGTCTCAGTTTGGAGGACTGGTCGACTCTATACTACATGAAGATGTAAGCATAACTACAACTTACTACCAAGCTCTGTTAAGGACCGTCAAGCTCTAACAACTCTTATGTCTTCAGGACCAGTCGGCTTCGAATCAAGCCCTGAAAAAAAACGACTCGAAGCGATCCGTCTCGTTACCAGTTACGGAATTTGACAGAGCGCTAAGATCACATTCCGTCGGCCCCGATGATATGTTAGCAATTACCAGCGCCCACAGTTCAATGCAAATAGATCCCGTATTGCTTCGAAGAAGAGCCGCATCGTCGAATAGGATCCTAAGCGGACGCGTAAAAGATTTTGAGGGGGAGTTAATAGGTCTATCTCCCAGACCTGCTAGCACTCACGGGCGTGGCGAGCATATACCAGCTGAAGATGACCCCAATGGCATTGGCCGTGCTATCACGAGCGATAGTCTTGCACACCGCCGCAGATCAAGAAGTTTATCGCAACTCCAGGATGTTATAACGGGCCACGTCCAAGTTCGAAAACGGAGTGACGAAATACGCTACTGGAGAGAAAGTTATAATGCGACCATCCAATCGCCTAATGCGTCTACCATCAATAACAATACCGACGCTGTGGAAGTAGACGCAGAGACGTCGGTTAGCTCCCCAGAGCAGCATTTTTCACCACCAAAGACACCGCTACAACCCTTTCATTTTGGCCCAATGGCGGGTATGAAGATAACTCAAGCAGCTGGTCTTGAAGACCGTATTGCTACTCTGGAAGTTCGTAACCAGAAATTAGAGAAACTGGTCTCTCAGCTATTCCAAGTTATTCCGGGTGTAAATAATTACGTGCCTGCTACTCCCGACCAACCACGGCCTCGAGGTTCTATAGGAGCATCCGCGACTTACACGCCGAAGCGCCCTATGACGGCGGAAACATCGGGATACGTGCCATCCTTAGGCGATATTGAAGGTTCTTCTAGACATACGTTATCCCGGCATTCGAATGATTCGTTTGGCGACGGAAATACATTTATCGGATCGTTGCCCCCTTCGTCAGCGCCGCCGCGACGGCCGCGCCCCGCGTCTAACTCTACCATTCGTGGTGCAACAAGTCTCCCTACTTTACTAGGGGAGACTGTGGGGCCCTTAACTACGGATCATTACGTGACTCTGAAGGCCTTATTAGACACCGAGAGAGACGCGCGTCAGGCGTTGGAGGCTCGGGTGACGCAGCTTAGCCATAGGCTTAACCTCGTGGCGCGGACTCCGAACAAACTCGAAACCTCGTCTACTACTTACTCCACCGTATCTGCATTTGATCACGATGATGACGATGAGCCCCTATCCGCCGGCATCGATACCGAATCAGAAGCATACAAAACACCCCGCGAGGAAGAGCCGACCCACGGTTTTGGCGCCTTTGGTGAAGAGCTTCGTGTGGAGGAACAAGACGGCTCAAGAAAAAAGGCTGCCAGGACCCTTTCCCTAAGCCAGCTAACTCTAAAGAGGGCCCCTCAGTCTCCGCAGGGGTCGGGTGTGGACTTATGACTACACGGACTCTAATTTTATACCAGCTAACTTACCCAGATATGGTAGAGCTTTGACATCCAGATATTTGCTAGAACTTTTCGATTCTAGTCGTTGGGCATTTTCTAGGACGCAATTGGATCTTTGGGCATGGGCGGCTTTCTTTTCTTTGTCTCTTGGCGCTGACACCGGTTGGCTCTAACGACGTTTGAGCACGGCGTTTTGAGATCTATGACTGTACGATACGACCACCACTTCTTCACCTGCTGCATCCTACTCCTCCTCAAACGGACTGGATGAACTTGCAAGCGGTCTCTATTCGCCATCTTGATTTTGGACGGTGACGAATCTTTACTAATCCTGTCCGACTCTTTTTCATTACGATTTTTCGACTAGTCATTCGATTTCCAGCCTGCTATTTGATACCACATCATACTGAGCGGAACGCCTTGCATTGTTCGGGTTTGCTATTGTTCTTTTGTTCTTGGGAGGATTTTTGATATCCTACGTGGAGGATCGCAAGGCCTATTTGAGTAGAGCTTAGGCGCGTATGATACCAAGGGGGGGATATCAAGAGGCGAGAAAGTTGATTGAGGGAAGCTGAAAATAACATTGTAGTGGTAATCCATTTAATATATGAAGCGCGCATGTCGTGGACGCGTAGTACCACCACTTATAATACCAACATATTATATAGGCTCGTTGATTTAACTAATTATTGATATCGTGACTGCTGATTCCATGGATTATATCCGGTAGGTATTACGATCACTAAGCAGGATTGAAGAAGCCTGAGAGTGTACCAAGACTACATCTAAATCCAGTAATATTAGTCTCGTAGCGTCCAGGAGTTGTGATGTTAAGCGTATAACCTCACGTTATTTACCCATAATTCTTCTTTAGACAATTATAAAGCGTAGTAACCTAACCTATGTAGTCAACTACTATATCCTCCCTAGGTTAGGTATGTTATTCAAGGTGCCAGTCCAGCGTAACCCCTCTCCACTTCCCCATAACCGCTATTCCAACTTCCAGATCCAGAATAGCAAGGCCGCGAAACGAGCCGCCGCCAAGTGCTATACCCCGTCTTAATTGAGGAGCTTACTACTACTGTACGTACATGGTATGTATATACCGTCGTTGCGGAAAAGGGAAGCTCTTGCGTGCCTGCAGGTGATTGGCCAATTTGTGTTATCATACCTACATAGAGGGGTAGCTTGGTGGTTAGTTAGCTGCATATAGTTATCTTCGGTGTTTCTGGGCAGGCCTGCCGGAGCGGAGGCTGGAGGTGGTGATATCGACGGGGACGATGATGTCGGTGGCGAGAGAGGAGTTGGTAACTGCCGGCATCGCTGCGCGGTGTAGATACTAGCTAGATTGTCCACAAAAGTTTCTAACCTAGGGATCTTTTGTAAGTCTAGGACATATTATGAATAATTGATAGCTTTAACTACTTGAATAGTTAGAGGGTTTCGTCTACGGTTCTAAATACATACTGCTTATAGATATACGGTCGCTATTATGAAACTCGCCCTCTCCGCGGTGCTTGCCGCTGCTACTCTCGGTGCGGCAGCACCGTTCACCTCGAGTAATCCAGCCAGCGTGCTCCTGAGGCCTAGAGCGGAGGAGCCGCAGTCTACGTTGACATGTCTAGCGTCGAGCTGGCCTCCGAACACGATAGGCGGGCCAAACTTACCGCAGTCGCCGTCTGCAGATCTTGAGTCCATACTCGCGCAAGTCGATCCGGCCAACATCGAAGCTACAATCCGGAAGTTGGTGTCGTTTGGCACGCGGCACACATTATCAATCCAAAACTCGACGACGCGAGGGATAGGAGCGGCGCGCGACTGGATCCATGCCGAGTTCCAGAAGTACGCCGACGCCAGCGATGGAAAACTGACCGTCGAAACTATAGGATATACGCAGGAGATAGATAATAACCGTATCTTGTTCCCGGTGCTCATCAGCGACGTCGTTGCGACTCTGCACGGTACTGAGGATAACCGGCTATACGTTGTGTCCGGGCACTACGATTCGAGGGTCTCGGATGCGCTGAATTACGAGAGCGACGCCCCTGGAGCCGACGATGACGCTTCGGGGGTCGCTATCTCGCTTGAGCTCGCGCGGATCATATCGCAGCCCCAGTACCCTCGCCCGAAGGCGAGTATCGCGTTCGTAGCCGTCGCAGGTGAAGAACAGGGGCTTTACGGGGCGAATTTCCTAGCGCAGACGTATGCCAATGCTACGCCGAGGGTTAATGTAAGTTTACCATTCTCCTTTGTCTTGGGGTAGATATATCTAGTGTGGAAACCTGTAAATTTTTGAATGGCTCCTTTTCATTTATGTCCCTGGGCGTTCTAATGTAAAGCACAATTTTATACCCCTTTGCACGAGCTAAAGCAAGCCACGAGAGACTTGAAATGACACTAATTTCCACTCGTACCCACACAGGTCGAAGGCATGTTCACAAACGACATCGTGGGGTCGCCAAAAGGCGGGACGAACGGAGAATTCGTGGACCCGTACGTGATACGGCTATTCGCGCAGGGACTCCCGGGACTCGCAATCGAGAACAGCACGACGCGGGAGACGCGTCTCACGATCGGCGGTGAGAACGACTCGCCGGCGCGGCAGCTAGCGCGCTTCGTCAAAGAGACAGCCGAAAACACAGCCACGGGCATGAACGTCTCCGTCGTCTACCGTCTTGACCGCTACTTACGCGGCGGCGATCATCGGCCCTTCCTCGAGGCCGGGTACCCGGCTGCCCGGTTCACGGAGCCGCATGAGGACTACGCGCACCAGCATCAAGATGTGCGTGTTGATGCTAACGGGAAGCAGTTCGGAGACCTACCTGAGTTTGTCGACTTCGAGTATGTGGCGCGTGTTGCGCGCGTCAACGGCGCTGCGCTGTGGAGTCTTGCGACGGCCCCGGGGATACCCCAGAACGTGCGTGTTGACACGTCGGCTCTGAGTACTAGTACTACGCTTTATTGGGATCCGCCTGCTACCGGACACGATGGTAGTTATGAGATTGTGTGGCGTCCTACGAGCGCGCCTTTTTGGACGGGTGTGCTCGATGTTGGCTCTGCTATTGAAGCTACGGTACCACTGAGTAAGGATGATGTCGTGTTTGGAATCCGGGCTAAAGGTGCAGACGGGTTGCGAGGTGTTGCTGTGCTGCCCTTCCCCGGGAGCCGGTGAATGAGAGGAGGATGAGTTGATACACATAGGTACCGAGACAATCTTTTTGTTAGTACCTATATATGTAGGTATGGATATATACTTGCTGATATGAATATATGTAGTCCGTCAAAAATAGAAGTGTTGATTGCTTGCAAGACTTGTAGCGTAGTGACAACATTCGAATCTGTATTAAAAGTCGAGAATAGACGAAATGAGGTGTCTCGTATGTCGGTGAGCAGAGTAGGTAGTTACACATATTTCGTAGGTCGTCAAAAGAGGGTAAATCCAGCAATTTCCTGTGTTCTCGGAGAATGACTGAGACAGTGTCGAGTCGCTGTTGTGAAATGAGATCGTCATCTCACTCAAAGTCTCCGATATGTGGCGAGGTCACTCAACTTTTTAAGCAGTCCGGATTATTACATTGCACATCCTGCCTTTTAAAGTCGAGAATTAACTTAAATTTAACAATCGTAGTAAATTCACTTGGAACAGTAAGTAGAGTTTGAAGTTTCTATCACAGTTTGAGTTTCGTATTGTTGAATACGCGAAAGTATGAAAACGCGATGAATCATTAGACACAATTCAATTTGAAGGAAATACGAGTAAGACTTAGGTTGTATTGTATTACATAAGACCGGTCATATGGGTACGTACCTACGCGGGGTGCGTATCACTACCCGAATCTACAGGCGATTTCAGGGGAGAATGAGGCTTAGAGAATAGTGCATCTAGGTAGGTAGGTATATCCTTTGAATCCCTTGTGTGAATCCGTTTACCTTCTAACAACAACCTTCTAATAACAACCTTGTAACAACAACAAAGTTGCTTCACCAATCGCTATTTCAATGCCTTATATAACGATCTCATATAGTTCCATATATTTCGGTACTTAAGATAGGTAGCTAACTCTTCGCAAAGATGATACTGCGACGACGCGTCTGGTTTCCCTTCGTCATCGCGACGCTGGTCCTCTTTTTCTACTATTCCTGGATCACTCAGGGTGGCTACGGGTTAACTGGCTCTAGAAGCGCGTCTCAAAATCCTCTGTTTATCGCCAAGGCTATAGAGGATGACAACTATTTCTGGCGGAAAGTTACTACGCATTATCCCGTCCAGGATATAAGACAGCTGCCAACCGGCAAGCCACGTACACTTCCTAGGATTCAAAAAGCCTTTGGGAAGGAATTGAGTAAAGACGCTAACATTCGTCGGGGACGCCAAGATGCCGTCAAAAAGGCGTTTGCCCGTTGCTGGAAGTCTTATAGGTCTAGGGCCTTCAAGAGCGATGAGCTAGCTCCCATCAGCGGCAAGTCCAAAGAGTTGTTTGGAGGCTGGGGGGCTACGTTGGTCGACAGCTTAGATACACTATGGATTATGTCGATGCGGTCCGAGTTTGAAGAAGCCGTGACAGCTGCGGTCCAAATCGACTTCACGACTTGTGTGATAGAGACTGTAAATGCTTTCGAGACTGCAATTCGCTATCTGGGAGGTTTCCTTGCTGCTTATGACTTAAGCGGCGACCTACGATTGCTACGCAAGGCTAGGGAAGTCGGAGATATGCTATACAAGGCGTTCGATACGCCTAACCGTATGCCGATATCTCGTTGGGACTTTGAGAATGCTAAGAAAGGAGGGAAACAGGTTGCTCCCGAAATGGAATGGCTTGCTGAGGTCGGCTCGTTCAGCATGGAGTTTACGCGTCTATCTATGCTGACTGGAGACCCGAAATGGTATGACGCAGCCGAGAGGATCAGAAAGGCCCTCGAAGAGCAGCAGAGCGCCACTCAGCTGTCTGGTATGTGGCCGTTCGCGCTTAATCCTCGAGACATGAATTTCAACAGCGATACCACGTTTGGGCTCGGGGCTCTCGCAGATAGCACTTATGAGTATCTGCCGAAGATGTACGCTATGATGGGTGGGCTTATGCCTTCGTACCAGTCTATGTATGAGAACTCGATGAAAACTGCTCTTAAGCATCTTCTCTTCCGACCCATGGTTCCGGACACGGCGGACATCCTAATATCAGGGACCATGCATATAGAGAGCAAAGACGGGAAGAAAGCCCTAAACTTAGAGTACCAAGGTCAGCATCTGGTCTGCTTCGCTGGTGGAATGCTCGCAGTCGGCGGGAAGCTATTCGAGAAGCCGGAACATCTAGAAGCGGCTACGAAGCTCGTAGACGGGTGTATTTGGACGTACAACGCAATGCCGCTTGGAATAATGCCTGAGACCTTCTTCATGGAGCCTTGCAAGTCGGACAAGGAATGCGAGTGGGACGAGTTGGTGTGGAAGCGTGCTGTTTTGCGAGAAGCAGGCGAGCAGGATTTAGACAACATGGAAAAGGCGGACGAGATAATCGCCCAGTCCAGGCTTCCGAAGGGGTTCACGAAGATCCCCGACCCGAGTTACCTCCTACGGCCGGAAGCCATAGAGAGCGTTTTCATTCTATATCGAATCACCGGTCGCCAAGACCTGCTCGAGTCTGCTTGGGTTATGTTCGAGTCTATCCAGATGAGTACTAAGACATCATTGGCGAACGCAGCCCTGGACGACGTGACGGTTCATGGTGATCCTCCGAAGAAGGACTCGATGGAGAGTTTTTGGATGGGCGAGACTTTGAAGTAAGCTGGTTTCTCCCTATTTACCCCCGCTTCGTCTATATCAATTATATCACCACGGCTAATTACTTGTAGGTATTTTTATTTGATCTTCAGCGAGCCTGATCTCATTAATTTAGACGAATGGGTTTTCAACACCGAGGCCCATCCATTTAAGAGATTAGTGTGATATGTGTCTATATATTTCTAGCAATGTACTAATATATATTTTTACGAACGGGTTTGGGATCTGGGACGAGGGCAATTAGGGGGTATGAAAGCACGTATACGTAAGCTAGACAATTAAATCATAAATTTTTCAGTCAGTGGAAGTGTATTATATTTTAGCAAATGTTAAAAGTCCGGACGTGAGTTCCCCAGAATTTTCATGTCCAGAGCATACCCCTATCGCAGAACCTCATGTATTCGTTTCCCAACCGTCGACATTCTTAACATCAATAGCTATATCGAAGTATAGACCATGAGGCTTAGGTTAGTATACTTGCTATGTAGGTTGCTTCGTGCTGGAATGGTGGAGGCGCAGCGCGGGGTTTCGAGTTGTCAGTTATACCTGCACCATCGAAGTTGGTACCCAATGGTCAGGTATTATTTCTCGATAAGCCACTCGAATTAGGCGTGCTTCTCCGAGTATGACGTTTTATTCGACCATACCCCGACCTAGGCAGTCTGCGGGAACGAGAAAAGCTCATGATAGGTTAATTCCATCCGCCACCGAAAGTTTATAGGAGGTATCATCAGGCAGTGTCTAGTCTAAGCCTCGTCTTCTACACCACCACCACCACCACCACCACCACCGCAGAGTTTCTTTTTTTTTTAAAAAAAAAAGGAAAACTGCAAGGTAAAGAGGGGAAATTGCCAACGCTCTCTGGTAACGAACGAACGACGCTCAAATATCGGATTTAGTCTATGGCTCTTGCAGTTCAACATTTGCCTACCACGCGGCAGTGCCTGGCATTCCTATACGACCATGGAAAGCGTCGAAGGAAAGTTATGTGACAATTGCATGAGAATTTGCCGATCTTATTGGGACGGTGTTTTCGAATTACAAGCAAGTTATCATGAGTTTATAGCGAGTAAGAATAGCGGGTGTTATATCTGCTCTTGGTTATGGGCAGTACATCAGCCCTCAGATCCGATCGAGCAAGATATAGAGGACGTCGATAGCAATTACGAGCTTGAGGAAGTTAATATCCGCACCCGTATCGATGGTCAGCAAATTAATAACACCACATACGTAACTTGTTGGATTGGTTGTTGTTGGGCTGGCCCGTTACGTGTCAAAAGTAGGTCTGAAATATTATTGAAATAGCATACATATCACCTTAACAGGTACACACCTATATACTGATAATCTGCCTAGTCCATATGGGAGAGCTGAAGAACGTCGGAATATCATCTCGTGCACTATTGAGCGAACTCGAGACCCGTCCTTGGTCTACCCTCGGCCCCAGCACAGGGTCTAATGAGTCCTTAGGAAAAATACATGGGTGGATATCATGCTGTCAAGCCAACCATAAGCAATGTGGCTCAACCCACGGATACCATGGACCACCTGGTTTAGAGATTGGTACCTTCTTCCCAACTCGAGTAATTGACGTCGAGAAAGCCGACGCTGGGATAATATCTCTACGAGATAGGGCCGAAGTCATGATTCAATTCGGCACCGAGAGCGAAGCACGCCTACCGACATCAACTGAATCTAGTACCGTGCATAAATATCCCGTCTATTGGACTTTATCTCATCGCTGGGGAAATACTGACGAGATGCCACGACTACTCAAAGACACAGAGTTACGGCTTCGTGAAGGCGTTAAGCTTAATGAATTACCCCCAATTAACAGAACGTGGCCGGCATTCCGTGATGCGGCCCTTCTTGTCAAGCGTCTCGGCTATAGATATATTTGGATCGACTCGTTGTGCATTTTTCAGGATTCAGCTAGTGAATGGCAACAAGAGGCTATTACGATGATAGATATTTACCGCCACTCATATTGCAATATATCGGCGGGCTCTGCGTCACACAACCCGGCAAACAATGGCCTTTTTCGGCGAAGGAAGCTCCACGAGAGGCTCTTCTATCCGGTTGTGGTGAACATAAACGCCCAACCATACTGGGCATGGCATATTCTAGATTGGGAAAACGAAGTCGAGAGAGCGCCTCTCAATAAACGCGGCTGGGTCGTACAAGAACGATTTTTGACGACGCGTACCATCCATTTCGCTAAAAGTCAGATCTTCTGGGAATGCTTGGAGGAAATCAATCGCGAATCTCAGACGATGAGTGGGAGCCTAGCAAGTCTAGAAAGCCTGAGGGCCATGATCATGAGGGACGCGGATTCTGTAGAAGGTGGCAAAAAGGCAGCGTTGGAGTTCACTAAACTCAAAGAAGCTTCTCTCAAAGAAACTTCTCAAAAAGAAACTTCTCTCAAATCACACCGCCGCCCTCATGATGAGGGGAGACTTGAGCGAATCTACAAGTACCGGCGTAACATTGTGGGATATTTTAAATCTCGCGGGGTGCTGAAATTCGATAAACCCAAAGAAATTACTACTGAACTGCATCCCTCCCCGAGACTAGTGAGAATCTACGAAGAGTGGACTCGTATTGTGGAATACTACACATCCTGTAGGCTTACAAACGAATCTGATAGACTAATTGCTTTGTCCGGCATCGCAAAGGCTTTCCAGGAAACCACCGGCGACACGTATCTAGCCGGCCTATGGAAAGATGCGCTCGTCCCTTGCCTTGCGTGGCATACCGGAGGGTTTGCGGGAGTCCAAGTCCGACGTAACGAGTATGCGCCGTCGTGGAGTTGGGCTTCGATCACGGGAGGCATGGTAAGTTTTAGTGTTGTAGGTAGATGGGATCGAACACCAAATTACGCCAAACTCATTAAGGAACGAATCATACCTAAATCAGCTAACGGGGACTCATTTGGACTGCTTTGCTCGGCGGAGCTCGACGTCGAGTGTATGATTTGCCACCTTCGATTGGGTGAGAAGAGAAGGTACCCCAGGCGGGAGGCCTGGGTATATTATGACGAAGCTCACAGCCGATGCTTTTTTGAGGGAGATTCATATATGACAGTACGGTATGATTCGGCAGACTTGGCAAATAAACACAAGGTATCGAGTCGGTCTGGTTCCGTACCCATTATCACATTTATTCCAATCGGGAGGGATGCGATCAACATATGTTGTCTTATATTGGAGCGTGATGTAGATAACAGGTTCAAACGAGTCGGGCTTATGAGTTGGGAGCTTGAGGAGCGGGAAACAAGTTTTTTGGACAAATGGGACGGTACGAAATCTCGTATCACACTTATATAGAATACTTAGGTAGTTCGATATACACGGTCGATATATACATACGGTCGATATACACGGTCGATATACAAGATCGATATACATACGCGACTTTATTATCAGACGGAGAGTTTCACTTGTGACGTCCTTAACCTAGAGAAATAGGTATTCATACCTCGTTAAATACATATATACATACTCCATTTAATTTATACCCGGTAACTGCATACCTTAGCGCCAGCCTTGCACAGATTAGATTACCTACACCTCATTTGCACCGCAATCACATTTTCCCAGCTTCCTTCTCCCCTCAGCCGCGGCAAACAGCGCAAATCCGATATGCCACCACCTCCTTAACTGATCGACGGTGAATCTCGTAAAACAAATCAATTCGCACTAAAAACGTGCATCAACCACTTTTCGCACGTCCTTTTTTCTTTTACTACCGACAAAACTACTACCACCTATCTTATCCATTACGTAGCCTCAAGCCTCCCGCCAAACCGCGTCGCAAACATCGTCATCGCAGGTCGCCATGGCGGATAAGTGGGTAGATTGGAACAAGACCACCCGGTCTAAGAACTATCGCGGGTCCGGGTCGTTTGCGACGTTTATGATTATAGGACGTATGTATATTCTGCTTCTCTGTCTATATCTCTATCTATATCCTTGCTGCGCCGCGCCGTGCTGTCGCTTCAACCCCGCGGCGCAAAACTACCTGACGAATATACACACACTAACACTTCTCTTCTCCAGCAACATGTTTCTTCCTCGGCATCCTCTTCGCCATGTTCCCGTACGACTTCCCGCTGCTATGGACCAAGGACCCCATCTCGGCCGCGTACCTGGATCAGCTCGAGATCCACCTCAAGTTCATGCACCAGTCGCCTCCCCTGATCGCGCGCATCCTCAGCATCATGGTTGGCGTCGGCTTCCTCGGCTTCTTCATCAAGCTGTTCCGCGCCTCCGAGTCCAACATGCTGTTCGACGGCGCCTCCCTCGTCCTCTACCTCATCGGCGTCGGCGTCTACGTCGCTAACATCGTCAAGGGCCTGCGCCTCGTCAGCGCCGGCGCCTGGGACGCCGACGACTTCGACCCCGCGACCGTTGGCGTCGGCCGTCCTGGCGCTGGCGCCGGCGACCCGTTGACCGGTGGCGAGATCATCCTCGGCCGCGAGGATAGCCTGAAGGTCCTGGCTGCGAGCAACACGATCCTGGCGTTGGTGCTTGTTGGCGTGCTGGTCCTCCAGGCGGGCCAATGGTACGCCGAGCGCAAGGACGACGAGGAATACGAGAAGTACGAGAATATGGAGAAGACTAGCAACGGCGGGCGTCCGTCGAGTCCGACGGCCGAGAAGAGCAACAAGAAGAAGCAATGAAGAGCTCTTGTTGGCTTCCCTAAAAATATTTCATATTCTTACCATGTACGAGCCCTAGCTTTAGAGGGTTAGGCGAGGGGGGTTAGTATTGGTGCTGTTTAGTAAAACAAAAATATGTTGAGAGTGGTTTTCTTGGATTTGGATCGTGGGTGATGGTCGGCTGTTATGAAGATGTATGAGCTGTTGACGGACGATTAATGGGAACATAAGAAGAAGAAGGAGCCATATTGTCAGATAGGCTCTAGGACGCTTGTACGAAAAGTTGCCATGCTGCATCGACTGGGCTGGGTTTTAAATGTGTGCATACCAAGACGAACCGCGATTGGGTTCTTGGTTTTTTTTTTTTTTTTTTTTTTTTGAGATTTTGATCTCTGTGCCTTATTTACATGGATAGTACTTGAGGTATTTGGCTGAGCTTCTTCTCTACCCTCTATATAACTCGAGAGTAAATACCTCTTCCAGTCAGTTATCCCTTTTCACGTGTGGTAGACTGTTTACACGTAAGTATCTAACACATAGATGGATCAAACTCGGAATGGCTGCAAAACATAGTATCACGTAAAAGACAACACCTTCACAAGCAAACACCCAAAAAGCATGTAGAAGCGAAAGTAATATTAACCTATGCATAGGGCGCACCCAGCCAGGCACATAGTTAAAGACCATAATAACAGCCGATCAAAAGCACAGCCCACCCCCAAATCTACCACGAAGGCACCTAGCCTATATAATGTACACATTCTGCTCTGATCTCTGCGAAGAAGGGTTCATATTGTATCGTATCGTATCATATGTCCACGGGAGCATAGTATCAAACTAACCCCCCCCCCCTCTCCCCCCCCTTTTCAAACTAACCATAGTACCGTCGATACTGAAAAAAAATAAAAATCTAAAAAGCAAAAGAACCCCCCTCCCAACGCCGTATAATGCAAACCCGCCTGGCTTATTCTGCCTGCCTGCCTGCCTGTCCGCCCCAGTGGTATCATGATAAAAGCGTCCCTCCCGAATCCTAGATTATTTTTTGCTGGATCAAGACAAAGGAAAATATAAAGATAAGCAACTGGCTTAGCTTCGATGACGGAAAAGAGAAAAGATATAATATGCCCGCTTTGCTATGCGTATGTATGTATTGTGAGGGTGGTGCTCGATGGGGTCTATCACCTCCATCTCGGAAGTTCGTCTCCCAACCTTGCTTGGCCCCTGGTCGGCGTTCCGTTGCCATTATTATCAGCCCGCTGCTGGATATGCGACCACGTCGTCACGGAGCTGTCTGGCCTGCCGTCTGCCACCGTGCGCGGGTCCGCAAAGATATTAATATTCATGTCTTCGTCTTCGTTGCCTCGAGCCCTTTGTTTGCCCTTCCCCTTGTTCTTCCCCCTTATAGTACCATCCCGTGCGGGTGTTAGGGTGACTTGGGGTGCCGGGGCGGAAGAATAATTGTTAATCTTCCCGCCGCCGCCGCCGCCGCCGTTCTGCTGATGCGCATTCCAGCCCGTTAAGCTCCGGAGCCCGCCTATCTCGGCCGAGGCGTGGTAGCTGCGTGGTACGTTTGACATCTCGCTATCTGGGCGGCGGGAGTATGGCGAGTAAGGCGAGTTCGGCGGCATAAACCCTAGTCCGTTATATCCCTCATCGGGCTTCCGATGGCTACCGGGCGATGCTACGGCCGTCGGAGACGACGGCGTGAAGCTCCGAGGCGAACCGGACTGGGGTTGCTTCGCTAGAAAGTCTAGGCGCTCGTTCGGATACTTAGCATGAGGCACAGGCGCACTGATGATGTTGCCGAAGGACGACGTCGAGTCGTGGCGCTGCAATTGATCCTGCCTCTGGAGCTGCTTCTTGCGCTTGTACCGCGCGAAGATCACGGCGAGAATTATGAGGACGAAGCCGACAACACCTCCTATGACTCCCCCGACAATTTTCACAGTGTCAGCTGTGCCCGTTGTCGACGGCGCTGGTGCCTCGGTAATCGGCTCGCTGGTTGGCTCGTCGGTGTCTGGAGCGGTAGGTGGCGTGGGCGACGTAGGCGGTGGCGTGGCGGACGTTATCTCACTTACAGCCACCGTCGTCGTCTTGGATGCCGAAGGAGGTGAGGAAGTAGGAGCCGGTACAGTCGTGCTTACGGAGCTCGGGTTTGTTTCCGGTTTCTGGCTCTGGTCGGTGTTCTTCACACATACCGTGCCATCGCAATGATAACCAAATGGGCAGCAGGTTCCCGTCCCGCACGTCTCAAGAATTCCATCGAGTGCCGTCGTCTTGATCTCAGCTTCGGGATTTGTGACAGGATCTTGTAACGCGAGATCGCATGTTATGGGATTTATCTTGTTACAGGTCTTGCCTTTCGGGCAGCATAATACCGTCGTGTTGCCAGCCAGGGCTATACACGTCGTGTCCGGTTCGCAACAGAAGTTGTCCGGCAGCCCGGATAATGCGCATTTCGTGAAGTTTGCGGCACATGTGCTATCGGCTCTCTCGAGCAGGATATTCGGTCTGATATATGTGGCTGAAGCAGTCGTCGCAAGCACCGCCGCGAGACGTAAAGCTCTTCGAGGGCCCCAGAAATACGCCATGGGGTGATCAGCTATGATAGAATACGACGTTTTCCGATTTTCTATGGATGTTGCTACAATGCTGAGGTATAACTTAAGGAAATAAAAAGCCAAGAGATAAATAATTATGTAGGTAGAATAAGAAATAGAAAGTATGTACTAGGACGTGGTAGAAGGCAGTATCTATGGTAGCAAAAGAGCAAATTCAATCACGGAAAAGTCAGTCAGAGACTAAGATAGGCAGGTGGTGAGTTAGAAATAGTAATAAGAATAACGAAGCGGAGACAATGAATACGTTCGAGTATTCAGTCGAATGACTATGAAAGGTGTGGGTGAATAGACGTGGGACAAAAGAGCGAACAACGCGACGGCATAGCAATGACAAGTGAAATTTGATGCCCGGCCTATGAATCACGTTTCGTTCCTTGACGTCTTTGTTTCCGCTTTGGTCGACCATTGTTCGTTCTCTTGGCCCCCCGTGGCCTGAACGGCATAGATGGCATAGCTAGCAATCATTCTCCATCGCATGACCTAAGCGACGCCGATTTCTGTAGCCCAACAGATGCGACCTGATGGGGTGGTCGACATGACGCCCGATATAATGCGGCAGGGTGCGGGTGATCGACTGGACATCTTCACCCAAAGATGACGAGATGGTAGACTTAGATGAAGAATAGATCTAACTTAGCCGCTACATAAATTACGTAGCACTGCTTGTCTGAGTATACTGAGTGGACGCAGCCGCTTCTGGGCGAACAGGTATGTTCGCGATGAGGCAATGCAGGTATTAAGCGACGAAGCAATGGCTAAAACGAGAGGCTCTCATGAGGCGAATCGCTCATAGTCGTCTTTGAACGTCGTACTGATTGGGCGGCTACAGGGGCGCCAGTCACGGCGGTTGAGAAGGAGAAGAAGGTTGAAGTGTGTTATTGGTCCAGAGCATTAGTACGACTTTCAAATTAGGCGCGACAAAGTGGGAAACACGTGTCTGATTGGCCAGCGCAGTTAGACTAAAACTAGAGGTTTCCCAATTTGGCTCTGAATCTAGCAAATCTAGACGCTGATTGCGCGAATACCAGAACCCTGTTAAGACCTTAATCAAGACCCGCTATAGCTTAAATCCTAGCAGCCAGGTACCTAATGTAGTAAGCCCGGGGGGGGGTGGGGAGGGTTCTATTGTTAGGTACTCGTGTACTTGACCCCGAGAGTTGCCGGTCGGCATTTTATAGAACCCGGGAGGCGCAGACCACCACCACAACGTTTCTCCCCTTTAGACATGTTAGAATGTTATAACACAGAACCAACCCTCCGGGCCGTGATGCACCTAATTATGACGATGGTGTGCACCTCATTTCTTCAAAATGCAACGCACACGAGCCGCTTAATCCTCCATGATCCGTCGGCGGGAGGCCTCATGCACAACATATTCGGTTACCAAAGCTCACAGCCCACGGATCCTTTGAACCGAGAGACCTGGTTCGCGACCTACCGCAGGGCTGTTTGTTGGTAGAATGTATGATGCGAGGAACTACATAGTTGTGTAGCAATTTTACTTAGAGACCTAATTTAAGGCCTCGATAGCGGAATACAACCCTTCCATTCCGTTCTCACTCTCACTCTCACCGAGGAACACATTATTCTCTCTTCTAACAACATTCATATCCTCGCTGCGGTCATCCGTCCAACGATAAACATACGCCGTATTCGTACCGAGCGCCTTCGCCGCACGAAGATCGTATGCGTGGGCTGCGACCATAACGGCCTCGTCCGGCCGGACCTTCGCCAGCCCCAGTGCTTTTTCGTAGGCCTCCGGCGCCGGTTTATAGACGCCTAGGAGCTCGCTGGAGAACAAAGATGCCCTCTAAGCCGGAAGATCGGACTAGGTCAAGCTGGAGCCTCGTGGTCCCGTTGGCGAGCACAAATACATAGCTCCAGTCCTAGCTCTCTCTTCAATGCAGTTAGCGCAGGGCGAACAGAACATCCGACCATGGGGCCATATTGTGCCACGAACGCACAGCGCGCTCTATAGCAGCCGTGCCGCCGTGCCGCCGTCCGGGGTAGCAACAACATCAGCAACGTCTGCAGACCCGCCGTCGTTGTCGAGCCCAACAAAGTGGCGGCGATCTTCCTTGTAGATATCCCAACCCAGGACTCCAAGTAAAGTTTTTCGATGCGTGATGTCAATATCCTCAGGCGGTAGGCCCTGTTGGGACCGAGCATGCAGCTCCTTAAAGAATCCCTCGCGCCAATCAAGCGCCAATCTGGAGCGGGTTGCCTCCGCCATAGCTGCCGGCAAGGCGTTGGCTACTCCGCTATTGCCAATCTAGACACGTTCCCATAAAGTCGAGGAAGACGGCTTTGATTCGCCTCCCCTGCGTGACCGACTGGGTCGCTGGTAATTCCTGCGTATGCGACATTGTACCTGCACAAGCTCGTGTTGCCCGGTTTTGGTTGCAGAAGATTCCACCGCCGTTCCAAGTGACGATCCTCACCGCAGTAGTAGTAGTTACGCCACTGGACGTCTTGCGGGTACTTACTAGGTAAGTAGGTAGGTACCTATGTAAAAACAATATACGGGGCTTTAGTTTTGTCGGGTCGTCGAGATGACCGGTGCGAAGCGGCCGACGGAGTCGCTAGTGCCTACATACATAGATGGACTTACATGAGATCCATCAAGTGCAGACCGCCTACGCATGCATCAGCTCCTTCGCTTGCCGGCGGAGAAGCAAGCAAGCAAGCAAGCAAGCAATCATTTATTCATTAATGGTCTCATTTCTCGGCCGATATGACAAAATCCTGGTTTCCCCTACTCATGTGCCGAAGAGTCCCCTGTCTAGGTTAGTCCATAACACCAACGGGGTGCATGTTGGTATAGGTGAGGGTATTTTGCGTGGCTTTGCAGGTTTCAAAAGTTCGAAATATCGGATGAAAACCAAAGAAGAAGAAAAGCCATCTCAGCTCGTCAAGGGTAGAAGAGCGAGCTGGCAATACGTCATGGGAGCAATGAAGCCCCGTCTAGACGCATTGATTGACCGCACAGCCCAGTCGTCTACGTTAGATCTCTGAATTCGCGTGGGTTTTGCGATCTACATGTGATGATGCAAGCAGCGTACAGTGTTTTTACCTATGCAAGGTACCTAACCTACATAGATGTAAGGCATGTTAACGGTTGGAAGTTATGTAGTGCATGTCTTGAATTTGCCCTCATTCACGCGACACCAACGCCAACGCCAACGCCACCGCCTATCTGCCTTGCACTCGGTCTCAAGAGCCATGCAAGCATCAAGCATAGGTATACGGTATAACTATACCTAATGTATGTACCTGATGTATGTACCTACATACATGTAATTGTCAAATATCGAATGCAGCTGAAAGTGAAACTCCACCATAGCTCTCTGTACATACACACACACACACATGCATTAGGTACCTAACATGATAAGGTGGATTTGGACTGCAAGAAAACGAAAAAGCCTTCCTTCGACCGGGTTGCTACATACGGTAAATTGGCAGAGAGCGGGCCGCCGCGCGTGCGTGGACGGATGAATGATCTACTGCATATGTGCTTATGTACGGAGCACACATACAATATGGAGAAGAAGAAGAAGAAGAAGAAGCTACCTAACCATACATAGTAGATTTCTATGCATGTAAGTGAAACCGATGTGGGATCGCCGGTCGTTGGGGCGTTGAGCACCTGACTCACTGATCACGAGATCCATTCCCGTTCACCGCTCTACATCTACCTACATATCTAGGTATCTACGTAGGTAGGTTTAAAAAAAAAAATATGCCCAAGTTTTCCGGTGGAGTCCAGTATAGACCCGGTAAGGATAGCAAAAATTTTTGCTCCGGGGTCGTTGACGGTGTCCCGGTTTTTTTCTTTTTCTGGGTTGCAGGCTTTCTTTTAGACGCCCGGTAACAAGAAAGAAAGAAAAAAAAAAGGAAGCTAATTAAGCTGAATCTCTTTGTTAGTTGCGACTAATTAGTCTAATGCAAGTATGAGTCAAAGAATACGGGTTAATGTTAGCAAATACATGCAAATCACTGGTTAGGGTAAAGAAATTCCAAGACCGAATTAATTATTTTGAATTTTAGATTTTTATTCGTTAATAATTGTGTTATTATGCTAACAAACATGAGTACTTCTCCTATCGCCCTTAGGGTTTTTAGTCCCTAAGAAACGCTGAGAGGCGAGGACAATCATAACGGTGTCCTCTATGAACCTGGTTTGCCCCTTTCCTTCCAGGGACAAGTGATGCTAGGCCTTTATCCAGAACCAAATGCTGAATCCATAACCCCCCAAAATGGCTCAAATTGCCCAAAACTCCTATGCCCCTCTGCCAATGCATGCAATGGTATATATAGAGCCATCCGACGATGCCATAAACACGTAGTAAAGGGAATCAATAATAAGAAATCGTCATCTACTCGTAAGCCATAGCAAGGTTCATTACCCCCCAAATGTGACAGCCCGTCTCCGCCGTCCACTATGTTGTTGATATATCCAAGCTCCTTGATCTCCACTTATTCCAAGTGTCGTTCCGGTTGCCTTGCGGCATCCTCTCTCTATTGGGTATTATGATAGTAATAATGTAAAGAAAATACTGTGGTCGACCGTAGTCGCAGTGCGAAGGGGGGTGGCAATTTCCTGCATCGCCCCCAGAAGGCCACCCGCAGATGAGGAGAGGGACTGCTCTCCTCGAGACCGGCTTCGAGGGACATGATCAATCTAGATCAGCAGGTAGTCCCAGCCCCTCATCTGCATAACGTCTCTCCAGGAGATGTAGGGCGCTTCTGTAGACCCGTTCGCACTGGGACTCGGCTGGCTGTTGTCGGCCTGTTGCCAGACCTCGTGTAGCAGCGAGACAACGCCACCAAAACTGCCGTAGTTAGAAGCATCGCCTAGCTGAGCGATGCGGTCGTTGAAGAATTGTCTGAAGCTAGAGTTCATTCCGCTGACGGATCCGCCGATTAGGTAGACCCAGGAGAGGCTTCGGTCAAAGCCACTGGCGCCAGACGGAATAAGTTGTAGCACGGTAGTGAGCTTCTCAACTAAGCCAACGCAGCTAGCCTGGCTGGGGGAGAAGCCGGGAACTAGGCTGCATAGGTAAATGCGAGCTGCCAATCGGAAGGCGCTGGTGATGTTCTTGCTGAGTTGTTTCGGGCTAAGAGAGCCATTGGCGTTGAAAGGCATCTTGGGTGCGCTGTCATGGGTTTCAGTCAACCCAATCTGGTCGCCAAGAGCGTGTACATGCTGGCAAAGGGTAATGTCATCCATTCCTTCCTTCTTGAGGGCCTCGAGGCAAGCGATTTCGGAAATGAGATACATGATGTGGTCATCGCAGCCCATTAGTTCGCGAAGTCCAAGAAATGGGTTAGTAGTAGATAAGTGCTTTTCGCGGTACGTGTGTGCAAAAACTGGGGCTCTCCCTTGCATAGTTGCTCCTAGGATATCGATCCACGCAGTCAACGTCATGTTAAATGGGGTTTGAGGGAGCTGCTCGCACGAGTCGGAAACCAATCGGGGCAGGTCCAACTTCGTGACGAGAGAGTTCACAGCCTGGAAGTGCTGGTGCCAGGGAATGTCAGGGAGCGAATCGTCATATCGGCCAACGCAGGATTGGAAGAAGATGAGACCCAGAGTTGCCTCGAGGATCTGGTGGTGGTTCTCATCCTTGTTTAGAGCTTCGCAAAGAGCGACGATGGTAGCGTGTCGGTGTCGCATGATGTCGTTGTCGATTTCCTCTCCCTGGACGTTCATTGTTGCCTTGTAGTGTTGAGCTGCAATCATGAGACAGCAGTGAAGGTAAGGCTTGTTGTTCTGTAAGTTAGGCAGGATGAGGTCAGAGCCGACAGAGCCGTGCTGGTTAGTTTCCAGGATCGGAAAGATAGTTGGCAACACGAATTGAATGAAATGCTCTAGCAGTCGCTGGTCGTTCTCATCTAGTTCGATATCGACTTGTCCAGTGCTAGTAGGTAGTCCGTGCGAGAAATCAAAAAAGTTGTAGTTCAATGCCTCTTCAGTTAGCGACTCGCGACGTTCCTGGAAGACTTGCTCGGCCCATTCTCCTTCCATGGGGTAAGACGGGAGGATGGTTCCCGGAGGTGGTGGCGTGTGGAAAGTGCTGAAGGTTGAAACTGTTGATTCTCTTAGGGTAGGGACGTCATTCACAAACATTTGTCGCTCCGTCTTAACGTCAATCTCGTAAGGAGACATGTTGAACATGAAATCGGAATGCGACGGGAGTATGTGTGGGTTGTAAGCCCCATAGTCCTGTACATTGGGCGGGCTGTTGAAGTTGAAGGCGAATTGCGAGTCGATTGACGCCGACCTCGTTCGATCTAGAGGATCCGAGAAGGTCGCAGAGGTAGGAAGGGAGTGCGACAGGCCGGGCGGCGAACTAACTGAGGTCTGGATGTTGTGAGAGCCCTTCTCGGTGACCTTCTTTCGCTTGATGATCGCCTTGATGTTGTCCTTTTGATGTCGTCTCGAGTCGTTGTTGCTCCACCACATCGGTCGCTTGTATTCACAGTCAAGACCGAGGTGCTTGCATGCCGTGCACATAGGAGTGCCCTCATCGCACTTCTTCCGTCGTAGCCTGCAGGTGTAGCAGCCTATAGAAAAGGGGTCTTGTTAGTGTTGCGGTTCCAAAGCCGACTTACACACGGACCAAGGCCGAACCGGTGTAAGTGGTCGTGTAAGTTAGTTATATGGGAGTACCAACCTGTTCTTGAACGGCGGTGCATCTGTGACTTTGCTTTAGGGTTGGCATTGTTGCTTTGCTTCGAAGCAGCCTTCGACTTAGTCGGTTGTGCGACGGCCATGTTGACGTTTGCTGCTCTCATGAGGTCTCCTTGGGGGTTGGGGGGTAGAGATGCCATTTGTATCTTATGTCGAGTTGAGGTACCTGCGTCGAGATGGTAGTGGTGGGGGGGTGCTATGCTGGTCAAGCCGAGCGAAAGCGGGAGGGGACCAGGGGAGCCAGGGACCCTAGTTCTAGGTCCAGGTCGAGATGGCTAGGGTCTGCTTAGAGAGTGCGCCTCGAAGCCAGTAATTACCCAAAAACGCTCAACGCTCGAGTTCTCGTGCCCGGTGAATAATAATCCGCAAAGTGGAGATAAGGCCAACGCGGAGTAAATATCGGAAATCGTCAAAATTAATATTATTTTCTCGTCGAATGAATGATAGGATCCAAGCAAGTACCAGCTTGCCTTTCACGTTAGTCGAGTTTAGCGGGAATAAGAGGTTATAGGGAGGACGAGGGTTGAGGGAAAAGAGAAGGGGGGAAGAGAGAGGAAACTAATTAGGAGAAATTGGAACGACACTTGGATCTTTAACCCTTCACAACTCTATCTCGAAGAAAGAAGGCTCCTGTGGATTGGAGGTGTGAAGACTTATATCGTGGCCTCGTCCTCTCTGGCCACCACCTTAGCTGCTCACGAACTGGTGTAGCGTCGACGGCTATGTTCAAAAATAGCAACATACGCAATTTGGGGTAATTCCTTTTTTAACCCATGATCTTTCTGGCCTAATTACTGGCCGCCGCAGGCTACTACATATGCAAATTAGCCCACTTTGGGTAGGACGTGGTGACTTGAGCCGGATATGCGCTTGCGGATGCCAATGAGCTTGGCCGGTTCTATGGACCGCGGTCGAGTCACCCGGATGAAGGTGGGTATCCCTCGACCACCTGGACCAACCACCCTCCTCGAAAAATTAGCGGTACAAGGGCGTTGTACCACTCGGTGATACTGGCGGAAGACGGTGGCCTGCAAGCAGAAGGCAAGGATTATTTGGTAGGGTATTAGGCAACGTCCAGCGACTAAAAGAGGCAGTTCCCATACGTGGCTTGCCGGTTATTGGCACGACCTCTCGAAAGTCCGATCCACCATGGTGCATCCTCCCCCCTCCCTCCCCCCAAATGTATAGGGAAGACATGGGGTCTTGACAACCACCGCCAGCACTTGCATATTTCTAATTGTGCGCGAGTGTGTGACCTTGCCAGCCCTGTATCCATCCTTGCCGTCAGCAAGCCCTGCGAGCCGGGGTCTTCGAGTTTATTGAAAGCCGCAGGGGTTTATTAGCGTCGATCGGGTCGAGAAGAGGCACGGAAAAGAGAGGGGGTGCGGAATGTGGTATGTACTTTTACGACTTTTACGAGAGGAGAGGCTACTTCTCTCCCTCGAGGAACTCCGTCATGCCACTTCCCATCTTCGAGCGGAGACGGTTGGGCCGTTGTCTTGGGCTTGTCACGCATTCCTCGCTAAGTTTGCACGTTGATGATAGACATGTTGTGCAAGAAGAACCACGAGAGAAGAACCCCACGTGTGGACTTTTGATGTTGAGCCGAGTGCCAAGTGTCGACTTGCTCAAGACAATAAGTAATATGTATGCAAGGAGCCATGGCAGCTTGCCGATTGCCCTCGCATACATAGACCATTGGAGCACGGATGGTGTGGTTGCTCTGCATGGGCTGACCGATAATCATAGATTGCTTTGCTATCGGGTTGCATATCAGTACTGGTTGCATATGCAGCATCGAGAACCCAAATCTGTACGCATGTCTACTACGCAGGTATACTACTACGTAGTACGTAGTTCAAGTAGAATTGTACGAAGTACTCCGTACATACATACGCCAATCCTAACTCATTGCTACATCTGGATAACATTTCGCCGGGTGGAGAGCTGCTGGGCTGGAGTAATAAGCTGCCCGTCAGTAAACTAGGTCGAATTTTGCGAACTCGGAGCCAGGCCCTCGATCGCGAGCTTCTACTACTCTGGTTCGCTCTTCAAGGAAGGAGGAACTAGATTCTGTAGTATCCGTATAGTTAGTATAATTTCTTTATACCTCAAGCGTCCGTTAGATGTTGGTTTTGCCTGCCAATGAATGGCAAGTCTATGAATACAAGCGTGGGATTGGCCATCAGTATAAACCAGTGGCCGTCCGGGCAGCAGGGCCCCGGGGGTCCGTCCTTGCGAACACCCTGCCCACGACGGGACGACAAGGTCGGGACTAATAAGAGTCGCGCCGACTCTAAAATGCTCTCAGCCGAAAAGCGAAGAGCATGTATTTTCCCAGCACCCAGGGCCAATTTCGATAGCAATCCATTTGGGCATGGAAAACACATGTTCGGGCTGGTCATTTTCCTAACTAGTCCAGACGTTGCTGTGGCACCGGTGAATATTTCGAAATATGAGATGGGCTTGAGGAAGAACCAATCAGATGGATATGTTAGGTAAATCGTTGTGCGGTGCTTGGAAGAAGTTGGGAAGCAAAGGGTAACGGAGCTCACTGATTCGAGGCTTAGAGAAAGTTGGCGCCAGTAGCGGGCTTAGCCGGAATCTTAGTTGATGTGACAAAGTAAGGGTTTAGACTTGGGATTGGCTCGAGCTCGGAAGCTAGTCCCTGTCTGGCCGGAATTAATTCATGATGGAGGGCGAGATTTTAGCCAATCTCTGGTCGAGGGCGGCAAGCTCCCATTAGCGTCGATAGTGGATCTGGTGGGGTCTGCGTGCTTAGCGTATGCAAAATCTCAAGGATCCCCGGGCTGCCAAGACACGGCATCAAAGGGGCCCTTTCCCTTTTGTTCATCTTCCAGATGAGGTCAGCAGCTAAAAGTGGAGATGATTTCCCCATGATTCCCTTTATCAGCGTTATCAGAAAATCAAGCGGTGGTCCATGCACCCCGTAAGCTGTGGGAAGCTATGGGAAGCTATGGGGGAGGCTGGGGTGTGGCTTACCGGATTTGCTCACGAGCCGGCTGTTGGACGAAGATCACCCGACATAAATTCGTGATGGGCTAATTTGGCCAACTTTCTATAATTATCCCACTTCGCTTCCTCTCAACTGGGAAGTAAACTTGGGTTAAGTCGAGCTACACTTTGCATGCAAATGCAACACCGGGCGCTAAAAAGTGTCGTACCTACTTGTTTGCAAGTTTAACCTAACCTACATATTTACCTGCACACCAATATTGACCTAGCTACCTAATTATTCTATTTTTGACTTATCCCGTATTCTTGTCTGTGCAATGTGGGCTAATTTTGGCTAATTTGGGTTCTTACATCCAGTTCTTAATACCACCAGTTCCAATGTGATAATCCAATAATATTATTTACTCGCTAATAATATGTAGGTATGTACTATTATTATTGATATTAAGCTACGTACTTTTTTTTTCGACTCTTTAATCTTCACACTTCATCCATGACAGCGATCGCGAGATTACCCCCATGCAACATCGTCACTTGTCAAAGCCTTATCCAGCCACGCGCCCCTGCTCGCAAACCATCCTCCCGACAGTCCCGGCAGCATGGCGATGACAGAGTTAAGATAGGTAAGTGGCTCTGCTAATGCGTTCTTTTACCAAGATATGTTGTATTATGCGTTATGCCGTCCTTCAGATCGCAAAGTCTGGCTAGTTGTCAATTTAATATATGCTATGCTACTATACGTACTGTAAAGAAACGGGTTCTTGTTCTAACGGTAGTGTAAAATGGGGGCTGCTCCTTTTGTATGCATGTCTGTAATGCCTCTGATGTCTGTGATGTCGAGAAAGATAGTACAGGGATGGTGGACATATGGATGTACGTACGCCTTCATTACATACCTTAACTAGGTACCTACTTTAGGTATGAGGTAGGTATGTATGCTGTATGCTGTATGCTGTATGCGTGAGTGACGAATGTAGTATATTTCCAGCTTACCCTGCTCACTCACCCCGTAAAGCCGTAAATACTACAGCAAGAAATTGATGCCCGTGCTGTTGCCGTCATTGGTAACCCTACCCTGTCCAGGGAGCTGATGCAAATCATCATAAAAAACAAACTCGCACCCGGCAGCCAAGCTGTTGCGTCCCGGTCCATCTTCCGTTGGCTTACAATAAGAAGACTAATCTACTATGTGCAATGTGAAATGTGAAATGTGAAATGTGCACAAACCTGTGATACATTCCTTAGCGGCCATGGAAATGAGAAACTAAGTCCAAATCGAGCTTTCTATTAAACCATTTACGATCTATTAATTATTCTATGAGCCGGGATGGCTTCTGCGTAGTCTGTGCTCTAGCTATGCGTGCGTTCAAGGGCCCTTGACCCTGGCTCTAGTGAGATTACCTGCATGTGTGAAGTCTTCCCTTGTCTAACCCTATTCGCCTACTCATCGACGGGGATCTCTCTACGGCAAAAACGAAGACTTCAACAAAAACAAATTAGAGCCTCCAGACGACATCTGACGATAGCACAGATCTTCGTTATGCTACGAAGATTAATCTCTGTCGGGATAAAGGAGAATCAACCATCCACCATGGAGCTGGGACTCGCATTGAGGAATACTCATGTGATGAGTCCCGAAAACTCATCCTCGGCGTGCGATTGGGCCCAGATCTCCCAAGTCAACTTCGCTTAAATCAGAGCGCGCTCTTTGTCACAGGGGAGTCAGCCCCATCCCACAGCTGTGCCCGAGTTAAAAACGCGATGCTCGTAATCGTGAACCTCCGAAGCTGCCCAGGAGTGCTAGTGTTTAATGTCAATGTCAATGTTAGTGTTAGTGTTAGTGTTAGGGTAGAGACAGGTCAACGTAAGACAATTCCTTCGGGATTAAGAAACGACGACTCGCCATTCACCGATTTACTACCGCCTGGATCCAATACTTCGTGATGGAGCAGGTAGGAGTCATTCAGATCGGATATAATCGGGAGCAACCATGCTCATACATACATAGAAGCCTTCTTGTGAATCAACGCAGCCCGAATGTGGATCACGAATCATAGTACCTATATCTATGATGGCAGCAGGGAAGTGAGCGTAGCAGCTGCCACGTCTTAATGGTAGAGTGACGACGATGGGGACAGGCACGTAGTAAATCAATACACATGTGAATCTACATACAGTTTTATCAGTCACCGACTTGTACTATGTAAAGCTATTGTATTTTGAAACGAGGATCAGATTGTCTTAGATCTCGGTTTGCTCCATTGATGGCCTAGCTAACCTAGCCTGTTGACGATCTTGCATTGGCTTCACCACTACTATGTAAGCGTTAGGCTAGGTATGTAAGTATATATCAAACTGTCGGTGTATTCCGTTGGATTGTGCGTTTGTACTGAGCTTTGTACTGAGCGGCGCTAAGGTAGCATGGAATATGTAGTATGTATGTACGAACTTCGCTTCGCGGGGAGCAGACGGACGCGACTCTAAGCTGCATACCGTAATGCGGGAACTTACTGCTTCTATGCAGCGCTGCAGAACGAGTGTGACCCCCGCCACATGTTGTTCGTGGAGGTTTGAATTATCC